ATGAAGGCTCTGCTTAAGTCCCTTATATAAAATGGCATATAACAATGCATACACTCAGTCCTCAGCATCTGCAGATTCCCAACCACAGATCAAAACTACTGTTTTCAGCCAGGGGTTGGTTGAATCTGTGGATGCCAAATCAGGGATATGAAAGGTTATCTTTATAATTATTGAAAAAATCCATTTATAAGTTGATCCATGAAGTTTAAATCTATGTTGTTCAAGGGTCAATTCTACAAATTCTTGAGAGCCATCTTAGTTGGTTTTAACAAACTCTCCAGGTGATCCAGAGATTTTGAAACATGCTTAAGTTTTAGACTACTGTTCTAAGTTACTTCAAAACAGTTGTCATCATTAACACAAGCTATGCAATATTACGAGATGTACCACTAGTCTAAGATAATCCATAAATGGTAAATCAACTATGAAATCATATATGATGTTTCTATTATATCTTATAAAAGAAAAGCTCAGTAGATATTTTCAATAATTATAACATTAAAACAAAACCAATCACGAACTTTATTTCTTTAAAAAAAAATAAACCTGCAATTTGCTTCCTCTTCCAGTTTGCAGATCCCTTTTCACTTCAATATAAATACAATCTCATTTTAATCTTTTCCTAAATATTAAATTAGAAGGCTTTAGATTAGAAAGAATACATAGCAGTAGAATAACCAATTGACCAATTGAAATTTTTACATGAGCAAACATTACTTTTATAGTAAACCAATAAATAAAAATGAACTCTATTAGGTAGATTTAGCAAGAAGTTGAAACTAAAGTTGCACAAGTGTTATAAAAGCAGCTAAACAATTGGTATTCTAATTTCCTCTTATCGTAGATCTAATATAAAACTAAATATTTGCAATATCAACATGCATATTAAATATTTGCTGACAAAAAATCTTTAGAAATTTCAGCTAATAGTAATGCAATACATTAAAGTGATTAAAAAACCACCGAGAAAGGATATAGTCTTGGCTTACTACAAATTTGGCCCCAAAAGGAGAGACTTTAAGAGCCTGATTGATTACAGACTTTTGCCACAGCCAAGTGTCTACTAAAATAACCTGCCAGTGGAAAATTACTTAATCACAATTCATGAGTAGAATGTTTCAGGTGTGTATATTGCAATAGCAGGCAATCGATTATTTTTAAAAATATAATAAAAATATTCACAACATATTGAGCTTATGTGCAATCCACTGGGAACCTAAATCACACTTAATAATGCTGCCTCAGCATATAAATGTCCACTTCCAATAAAGTATCCTTCCAAAAAGTGAATACTGACAACGCTTAGCAGAATTTTAAAATCTAAACATTCTCCATTACTAAACACTGAGGCCACAATTTCCAAGTATTACTGTTTAAAAAAAAAAGTCAAATAACTAATATTAAGTACTAACCATGCGCCAGACAATGCGATTTATTTCTCTCTCATCTTGGTATTCCTAGCACAGATTCAAGCACATAGTGTACATTTAACTGACATTTATGAAAAAAAGGAATGAGCATTAAGTTCTTTAAGAGGATTTAAAGATTTTTTTAAAAAGTCCCAGAGATTACAAATTGAATTAGAAAACATGACAAACACATGAAAAGCTCACCTATGGCAATTAAAAATGCCACGTGGTAGGATACAATTATTTGCAAAGATAGTGTTAAAGAGAGTGCTATCGATTCTGACCAGAGTGGGAGTATTATGGGCTGCAGGTCCTCCTGGTCTCCCGATTAGACAGCGACACTATATTTCGATTTAAAAAAAGAAAGTGACACAGCACTCATCTCACCCTAAAATTACCATCAGAGAAATGAATACAATAACTGAAGAGAATGACATAAAGAAATTTCCATATAAGCCTTTTAAAGCATTTGGTAATCCTGAAAGAAGTTAAAACATTCCACACACACAATCATTCGTTGGATCCCAGGACCTCTAAAGGCTCCTGAAATACCAGTCTCTCAGGAACAGCTTCCCCTGATTATTTCTTCCCCCGGCCCCCCACGAAGCTTTCCACTGGACAGCAGCCCCAGAAATTTCTCCCAGCATCCGCAATGACAACACTCTCATCTTCCTCTCCCTCCCCTCGCCTGTATCAGACAGAGGCATCTCCCTCCAGAGGAAAAAACGGAGGGCGGGGGAGGCAGGATAGGAGAGAGCTTGCAGTGAGGTCGATTATGAGGAGAAAGGTGAAACAACGCGAGGGGCCAGGGTGGAGTCCCTTCAGCTCCAGCTGATCTCTAGGAAGCCTGGCCAATAACTCCCTACCCCGCGTGCACGCCCCTCGCCCGCCAGACCAGGAGGAGCAGGTGACGGACTCGAGTGACAGTCCCACGACCTGTGCCGCGCCGCGCCCCCTCCCCTCAGGTCCCCAGGGAGACAAACGCCTGCCCCTGCCCCACCAGCAGCGGCCACGGGCTCCTTCCCCTTCAAGTCCACGTCGCCTTTAAGTGACAGGTCCCGAGGGACGCGATTGCAAGCGCATGTCGTTCAGGACTGCTGGTGCAACCCTGCGCCGAAGCCCTCTAGCAGGCACCGGCGGGTAGAAAGAACGTTCCGGACGGCCTGGGAGACTCAGTCCAGGCCTGGCCTGCCCCAGTTGCCCCACACCCGGCGGGAATGGCACTTACTGCGGAGATTGTGGATTAGCTCCGAGTGGCTGGCGCCGCCGGATTTCCAGGCCATCGCTAAGCACACCCGGAGCAGGTACAGAATCACCTTCAGCGCGGCGACGGTGCCCAGCAGCTTCCCCAAGAGTGAGACCACCTCCCACACGGTCACCGCCCAGCTCGCGTCCCTGCTGTTACCGCCGCTGTGACTGCCGTCGCCGCCGCTGCCGCCACTGCGTGCTCCCGGCATACCCCGCGGCACGCATGCGCTCTGTGACGCCGCGCGGCCTCGGGTGCGGCTGGGTGGGGCTGGAGGCGGGGGTTGATTGGAGCCCTGCCACCCGCACCCGTGGGTGCTGCGGCTGCGGGGGACTGGAGGGGAAGTCAGGCAGAGTCAGCGCCGCCGCTGCGTGCCCTTTTATGATCCCTTGGGCTGCAAACTGCCTCCTACTTGGATTCGCCTGGCGGCGTGGGCCCCGCTGCGGTCGGTCGCGTGTCTGGCTGTGGCTCTGGTCACCAACCGCAGTGGCGGGATGGCAGGGCCGACCTCTGCCGCCGCGTCCTGCGGATCTGGTTCCGCCGCTGCCGGTGGCTCCGCAGTCGCCGTTGGGTCAGCTGTTGCGAGCGGCGGGTCTGCTCCTATAGCTGTCCAGATTATTAGACGGTGGGCTTCCTCCGTCCTGCTTCACCCAACCCTGTTGACTAATATTTAGGTCGATTAGAGTCAGAGCTTTCTATGGTGGAACCTGAATAATAGAACGGGAGAGCAAAGGCCCTCTCTAACCCGAGTTCTCCAGCCTCTGGCTTTGTGACAAGTTCATCAGTGTTTGATTAACAGAGACTTTGAGACCCTGATTTGTTCTCAATTCTAAATTACAAATTTAGAGTGGAAGAATACCATGACATAAGGGGCGTGGGGGTGGGAAATGCTTTGCTCGTTAGAATAATGCAATTGGTTAAAAATACCACAGTGTCCTGTGTCGAATGTGTAATTCTAACACGTGTGTGTTTTCAGCAAATTAAAGCTCACAAATTCTGTGGTTAGACTGGACACCAGTTTTATTGCTGTCAGCTCTGCAAGACAGTGAGAAGATGAAAGGGGACATTGCCCATCACACCCAACTTGCTAACTCCTAATCAGAACTGATAACTGAAAGAATTGTCATCATTTAGTCCAATAACATTTTAAGAAAACAAAGTTATGTTGAGAGATGTGCGTCAGCAGCGATTTTCAAATTCTAGTTATTACCAGATTTTACCAAATGTGATATTCAGCCTATTTCCAATCCAAAATATATACGTTACTATTTTGTGGCATTCTGTGACCATAAACAAAATCATATTCAATGTTCTTCAATATTAAGAATAAAATTGTCAGTTTGGGAGTAATAGTTTTCCATGTCATCTCTCTGCAGTTTCCTGATGGTATTTAATTAAATCAACAACAACAAAACCAGTCTCGATCCTCAATAAGACCTGATAACTCTCTAAAGCTGACATCAACGCACTGTTATGAATACAGTATAAAGAAAATTTTTACTAAAGATGAGTAAGTCATCTCTTGTATGCAATAGGATTTACATTCTAAGGAGATCATCAAAAAACTAGCAACAGAGGACAAATTTTAAGTGCTATTGATGGTCTAAATATCAAGTGATATGTTTATTTAGGTCATGGGCTGGAGTAATCAGAAAAAGATACAGGAAGGAACTGGTCCTTGAAAGATGGGTAGGATTCTGAGTAGAGAGGCATAAAAGCGTATTATAGGTGTAATTAAAAGCACAGAACGTAACACTGGTTCCTGGGCTGTCGATGTTATATATCAAACTCATTTTTAATTAGAAATATACATAAGTGAACCGAGGAAGCTTACACAGCTAGGCAATGGTCATCAAAACTAGAACTCTGGAGTATTCAGAATTCCAACTCCAGGTTCTGATAATGTGTTAACTTTGGAGCAAAGGATTTGTTTGAGAGACAATGGTTTAGAATAATAAGTTGGGGCGTTAATGGGTTGTACTTCCATGAGAATTTAAGGATTTGAGATCTTTTCTATGTGCAGTGAAATGCAAAGCTGAATGCTCATGTGCGGCTACTAGGTGGTTGCTCTTGTATTGATTTTGTTTTATTTTTGCTCTTGTTTGTTTTACATTGCACAGTTGTTGCACAAATGCATTATGTCAGTGTTCTTATACTGATTTTGCAGATTAGGACCAGGTTCTGCAGTACAGGGACCCACATATGTTGCCTCTCTGTTCATAAACGCCTGGGTGAGGAAGGGCATCCCTGCTTCCTCTTGCAGGCTTGCGGTTCCCGCACAGCGGACGGAAAAGAATTGGCTCTCCACAGCCACCGTCCGCCTCGTAAGGTCCGGCCCAATCAGGGCTCCGCGGGGAGGGGCGGGACTAAGAGGACGCGGGCTTGCTTTCCTTGCTCGCCGTGGTTGATTTCGGCATGGAGGAAATTTATGCTAAGTTTGTCTCTCAGAAAATCAGCAAAACCCGCTGGCGACCGGTACCTCCGGGAAGTCTGCAGACCGCGGAGACTTTCGCTACGGGCTCTTGGGACAATGAGGTACCACCGCTCCTGGGCCAGGAAGCCCCTGCTTCCTCCCCTTCTCCTGGAACCTCACTCCCGGCCGCCAGATCGCTAATTCTTTCGCCTTCTAGATCTCTCCCTTCTCCGTCTTCCAAGTCCCCCTCTCGGGCTCGGTTGCCCTGTACCCTAGAGCCATTGACAGTGTAGCCTCGAATCTCGTGTTTTAAACTATAACCGTACTATGACCATTATTCTGAGATGCTTTTAAAGTAGGGTTGCTTGAAGGCAATACAAATATTAATTTTCGAGAGTTTAATGTATATTTCATCTCAAAATAAAACCTTCTGCTTTACAGGAAAATTATGTTTCACTGTGGTCTATTGGAGATTTGGGGAATTTGGATTCTGATGGAGGGTTTGAAGGAGACTATCAGTTATTGTGTGATATCAAACACCACGGTGATGTTATGGATTTACAAGTAAGTCTGTGTAGTGTCCAAAACCTAACTTTCAAAAAACGGAGAGTAATACATTAGCAAAGGACCTTAAGTTTGTCTGGTCTCACCCTGGATTTACAGGAAACTGAGTTTTCTATAGGTTATGATTTTTTAATATCATATAGCCACTTAAGGGCAGAATCGAGACTGAGGAAGGGGATGTGGGGTAATCCTAGTTTGTTTTTTTAATTGACCATCTACTGTATGCCAAGCACTGTTTTGGGAGCTTTACATGAGTTAATTTAATTCTCATTGCATGCTTATGAATCACGTATTGTTATCTCTGTTTTATCTATGAGAAAACTTAGACTAATATCTGTTGAGCGTGTGTAATGTGACAAATACTGTGCAAGGCACTTTCCATGTTATTCCTCTTCGAGTTTTCACAACGACTCCCTAAGAAGAGTTCAGTTCTCTCCTTTTAAAGATTTGCCTAGGCTTAGATAATTTAACTTGACTAACATTCTCAAAGCCAGTAGTTAAGTGGTGAGGTTGGAATTAGGTTTTCAAAGCCTGGTCTTTGTGACTTCAGAGTCCCTGCATGTTCTTCAGTAGAAGGCTGCCTAACCCTGGGAATGATACTTTTCTAAACCTTTATGATAGTGCTTCAAAATTAAGTCAATTATAAATGAATGAGTTTAGGGAAAATTTATTTTTTCTTCATGAAAATACTTATATTTGTATAGGAGTTTTGACTTTCAGATCTATCATCACATTTTATTAGCATTTGTAGGTTCTTTATATTTTAAAATTATAATTACTACAAATTAAGTTAATCAAGTGGGCTGCTTCTCTACTGATATTTCTGAATCTATAATAAGCAGGAATCTTCTACTTAGTTTTTTGACCAGGAAAGAATTGTAGCTGCTTCATCAACAGGATGTGTAACAGTTTTCCTTCACCATCAGAATAACCAGGTAAGGAAATTTTGTTTGAAAACTGAATTTGTATTTTAATTATTTTTAGGCAGGCTTAAAGAAAACCATACTCCATAATGACACAAATAATAAAATTTTATAGTCTCAAACATGGAGGGGAAAAATATCGTTATAGTACCCTTCTTTTCGAGTAATTCTACAACCGTGTTTGTGTGTGCTTTTACTGAATTTGAATATCTCTTAAATTCTGTTAGTTTAGACCTGACCTAACATGATATTTTGTCAAGGACTTTTCCTGTAATTCTCTCTTTTAAGTTCCTATTCTGGTCTTTGAAAAAAAAAAGCACCTTCTTGCTTAGATATCATGAGAGAGAACAGGAACAACTACTTGCCTCTTTGGATAGAACCTAGGTTTTAATTAGAAGAGAGGATACACTGTATGAAGACTCGCCATTTTTTCAATGCCTCTCTTGTGTGCTCAAGCCCAGGAGTGCTGACCGTCAGAGCATAGTGGGGAGGGCAGTCCTTTAAAATAGATAGCTCCACTTCTAGTAAAAGTTTTAAGTTGCTGGAAGAGAGTGCTTATTTAGGTTTTGGAATTAATAAAGGTCATCTTGCTAATAGGCTGCGTAGGAAATATAAGACCCTAATCTTGTTAAGTATTTTTCTTAATGGAGTCATTTCGAAAGTGCTATAGAGATTTATTTCTTAGATATAGGCTAATCCCTTGAGAATTTAAAGTTGCTTTTGAACACACAACTACCTGATACCTAAAGACTCTCTTTAGTTTGAGGTAAAGTTGGGATATTATTGAACAGTGTTCCTTTGAATCTAATTCAGTGTATACAGTTTCAATGGAAGTAGTTTCTGGACTTTAATACTTGGAAATACGAAGGAAAAAGGAGGGCATTCTTTTTCTGGAAGAGTGTGAGACAAAATTTTAAAATACTCTTTAGTTAGGAAAAAGTGCTAGTTTTTTAGAGCTTTGGTTTGATTAATCATGTCTTCATTTCTGACTCCTAGACTCTGTCAGTCAGCCAGCAGTGGACAACGGCTCACTACCACACAGGTCCAGGCAGTCCTTCCTGTAGCAGTGCACCATGCACAGGTGTTGTGTGCAGCAGCCCAGAAATTGTCACAGTTGGAGAAGATGGTCGAATAAATCTCTTCAGAGTTGATCACAAGGAAGCTGTAAGGACTATAGGTAAGAAAAATCATTATATATTTTTTATCCATTGCATAGCAATTGAGCACCTGCCACGTGTTAAGTAGATACAATGCTAGGTGTTTGAGGGATATGGAAATATACAAAGCAGGATCCTTTATTAAGACAATATGTTGATAAGGCACATGTGACTGACTATAAAGGAGAAAGAAACTTTTTATTTGGTTGGAGTGTATTATTAAATAAAGAATTGAGGGCCAGGTGGTAATTAATTTAGTCTCAGTTCCAGACCTTAAATAACTAAAAGATGGCACACCAGACAAAAGGAATAGTGTGGAGGCAGGTTAAGGCCATTTAGAGAATGACAAAAAGTTAGTTTGACTTGACTTTATTTTTATAGTAGAAGTGAAAGATGAAGCAAGACATGTAAATTGTGGCCACGTTGTTAAGAGTCTAACACATAGCTACAGGGGTTACATTTTGTTAGGTGGACAACTAAGGAGCCATTGAAAGTTTTGCGTAAGAAAGTGATATACGCTCTGTTGTGCTTTAGAAAGATTATTCTAGTGTAGTAGTTCTCAACTATGCTTCACAAAGACTTGCCTGAGGAGATTATTTTAACAGCCGACCACCCTAGACCTGAATCAGAACCTCAGTGGATTGAGCCCATTAAATAATTTTTTATGGATTTTTTTTTTTTTTATTAATATGATTTTTAGTTCTGAGGAACACCACTTATTTAAGGACCATTGCCTGGTGGCAGTTTGGAAGAGTGTCACAAAACAAGTCTATAAGTATGTGCTAAATTATGTGGTATAAGCGTGAACACTGAAGGAAGAAGAAAAGGACCTTTATAACAATCAGGAAGGACTTAACTGGAGGAGAGAGTCGATGAGGATAAAGATGAATAAATTTGAGATGAGTCAGCAGAATAATACAAGATCAGAATGAGCTCTGGAGGAAGCACTGGCGTTTGGCCCAATAGAATAGAGGTTCTTTTAAGCATAGTCAGAAATAAAATTGGTTATAGAAGAGCTTGGGCAGCTGTCTCAGAAATGCAAAGTAACAGTCGTGAGTGGAAATAGAGAAATATATATGTGAAAACTCAGCCATCTATTTGGAAAATAGTTCAGGTGTCCTGTGAGTAGCATTTTTCTATCAAAGGAGAGCATTCATTTTAACATATATTACCATACATTTTTTATAGAAATTGAACTATTGAAAAATTTTACTTGTAATATTTCAATTAAAAAAGGATTTGATTTAAGATTTTCATGGGAAAGGGGACCCATTAACACTATTTTCTTCATTTGTAGACAATGCAGATAGCAGTACACTCCATGCTGTAACCTTCCTTCGAACTCCTGAGATTCTTACAGTAAATTCAATTGGACAGTTAAAAATATGGGATTTCAGACAACAAGGAAATGAGCCCTCTCAGATATTATCACTGTAAGTTTTGATTTGTAATTTCCATAGTGTAATGCAAAATTAATTTGTTTGATTGTTTATAGCAATTGACTTTAAACCATATTGTATTTTAATTGCATTTTAAGAGAATGATTCCCTGATTAAATTTAATAAAGCATGTATAATTTGATACGACTGAGCTGTATTTAATAAATATTTGTTGTCTTGATTCAGAGCCTTTATCGCTTTGAAGTTTATATGATTTAATGGGGAACTTACTTTTGCTCATTATGTGATTCTATTACTAGTGGGTATAATACACTGTAGATATGATGGGGAGAAAAAGAATCCAAGATCTTTATTCTGAGCCAAAATCCTATGTGTGCGATCTACTCTTTTTTAACAAGGACATAGAATGTGTCAAACTAAACACTCAGTAAGGTAGGAGTAAAGAATATGCTGTTTAGTTGACATGTAATGTTTTTTAAAAGCTAAGAAATGGAAATGTGTTTTGCACATCTTAACAACAGATTGTCTTGTTCCTTGTGCCTCTTAATTGAAGAGAATGATTAACTTTGGCCTTACACCTCCCTCCCCCAAATCCTAATATTTAGAAGTATATTTAATGTAGTCAGTATTTCAATATGATTTAAGTTCAGCCAGGAGCTCCAGCCTCAAAGTTATCATTTAGTTATTAGAATGAAATATGTTTTATAGGCTATGGAAAGATAAGTAATACTTTAAAACATGCAATGTTGTTGTATCTCTCACAAAAGGACTGGTGACCGAATGCCACTCCACTGTGTTGATAGACATCCTAATCAGCAGCATGTTGTAGCTACTGGTGGCCAGGATGGAATGTTGAGTATTTGGGATGTCAGGCAAGGTACCATGCCTGTGTCTCTGCTGAAGGCCCATGAAGCTGAAAGTAAGTGTTATGAAGATATAAGTTTTTGTTGGGTTAGTTGTATGTTATATTGTAAGCAGCTCTTTATAACAATACATATAGATCATCTTACAGCACCTGAATTGTATAAATTTATAATTAACTCATCCCTTTTTATTAGATATTTAAGTTCTTTAACATGTTTCATTATTATAACCAAAACCACAGTTATTAGCCTTTATGTTCATCTTTATGCATTTATTTTCTTAATGATAGTTTTTAGTAGAATTGATGAGCCAAAAAGTTTGCTTGATTTCACACCTGTGATACACATTTTCAAATTGTTCTGCGTAAAAATATCAGTTTATATTATCATGCTCCATGTGTGAGAATGCCCTTTTCTCATGCAAATGCAGGCTGTTATTTTAATATTTGCTCATCTGTGTGTTCTTCAATTTATTACTATATCTTTTCTTTTAACAATAATAGATACAGGTTCTTGTCTTTTCTTTGTCTTCGATATTTGTGGGGCTGTTGGACTGAACAGAGAATTTTCATCATATCACCACTGTCTTTGATATCATGCCAGAGTGGGATACAGTTTTAAATTCTGACTTAAGAGAAATTTGTATTAATGTTAGAATAAAAGTACAAAAGAGCAAACATTATACCAGTATGGCAACATCTCAGTTTAAGTTTCGCATTATTATCTTGGAAAGATAAATGACTTTTAAGATTATATTTAAGATAAATAAAAGGATAGAGAATTTTTTTCCTCTTTCAGTTATAGCTATATCCAGGAAAATAAAGGAATAAAAAGGAATAGGGTATGCCCTCATAGAATCTGGTGTTGGCAAACCCAGTGATAGTAGAATTACACACTTTCAGATCTCTTCTTACCAGCCCTTTTTTAACTGCCGGCCTATATGACTAAGCAATACACACACAAATGTAGTAGATTATAATGTATTCTTTTGAATTCATCCTGACACTTGGCTAGAAATGACATAAGATTTTCTATAGGTGTTTTCTAATTTGAAAGTAAATAAATACTGAAGAATTTAAACTTAGGCAGTTTATGGCTCTACAGGCTGTTTTTGTTTGTTTTTAATTCAGCGGTGACATTTGTTAGTAACTTTCAAGTGTCAGTTCTATAATACATCATCTGTATATTGCATCATGTGCTTACCACCCAAAGTCTAGTCTTCTTCCATCACCATGTATTTGACCCTGTTAACCATCTTCAACCTCCCCTCTTCCCACTCTGGTAACCTTCATAGGCTCTTTTGTTTCACTTTGTTTTAATGAAACAGTATGAATGTATTTTATACAGGGACTTGCCCAGAACACACTCTTCTTCTAAGGAAGGTGACCTTTTTATGTTTTGTGACATGATGTTTAATTGCGATAACTGTCAGAAAGAAAATTGACAGCTTGCAAAGATGTGCCTTGTACTTTTAATGCTATACCTCAGGCACTTTCTATGCTGCCTCTTTAAGGTCACCTAACCCAGTGTCACAGAACCCTTGGTTACAGACTACATACTTGTATTATCTGCATGCTGCAGAGAACTTCCTAAGACTGCACATAACTTCCTGGCCAGTCATTGGCACACAGTCTCCTTAGGTTTATAGTTTGAGGGGTGCTCTGTCCTAAATTGGCTTTTTAAAACTCCTGCATCCGAAACTGGATCCAGATTCTTGGAGCATTTCCAAGTTTTGGTTCGCTAGGAGCTAGTTGCTAATTCTGTGACATAGATCAGAAATATCCAGAGTCCTGGCATGAACAAAATTGGTCTTTCTCAGTCTCTCCAGTAATATAACTTGCATACATTAATGACATAAGAATTGAAAATGAGAATGTAAACCAATTTTTAAAAAGTCTTTTTAGTATTATCTCACTGTGATACTTTTAAATAAAAAAAAATAATAGATCAAATGATTAGCATTACTTTTCATTGTTTTGTTGGCCCAATATACAAACAGATTTACTTGGCTTCTTTATCCTATCTCATATTGTAGCCATTTGGAGAGTTGTATTATGCCTTTTCTTTAATTCTGAAGCCTTTGATTTTTATCACAGACTTGGAGTTTGAAGGTGTGTGATAGAGGTAAATGGAAGCTGATGCTTAGAGATAGGGTTTTAATATTTGTTCAACTTACCTACACAAGATAAGCTTCATGGTTTTTTATCTTTTAGTGTGGGAAGTTCACTTTCACCCATCCAACCCAGATCATCTATTTACTTGTTCTGAAGATGGATCCCTCTGGCATTGGGATGCCTCTACAGATGTACCTGAAAAATCATTACTTTTTCACCAAGGTAAAAAGTTTTAATGATTCTTTTGTGTAATTTTATTATACTTTTAAATACCACATTAGAAATTCTCAGATTTTTAACCTTAAAGAACAATAAAATATTGCCATTCTCCTGCCTCCAGGTAAATTCTAGTATCAAAGGGCTTGAAATCTGTCAGCTACTTACTGCTATGTGCCAATGGCTAGAAATGCTGCAAGCTGGCTAACTTCAGACTGCTGGGGGGTCCTGTATGTGAGCACATCATCCTTGGCCCTCATGCCGAGGGTAGGCATTGACAGCTGTTTCGTATTACATTAGCAAGGGTGTGTGGCAAGACAGAAGTTGATCTTTCAGTTATTAAGGTACTGGTTTCTCCTCAGACTAAGGGGCCCTGTCTCCCAATTAAAAACAGGTACATAAATGTTAGCTGGAAACCATAGATTTATAATCAGGGAGTATTTCATTTTGTTTTGTTTTGGGCATTTTCTAAGCTTCCTATTTTTAAGTTTATCGGTTGTTCCGAAGTTCATTTGTTCATTCAGCAAATGTTTATCAAATGCCTACCATGTATTAGGCACCCTTCTAGATGTTGGAACCTACAATAGTGAGCAGAACAAAAAGTCTCTGCACACATCAAGCCAAGATTGTAGCAGACAGTAAATAAAAAGATAATGTTTTAGTAAAGGTCCAGTCAGAAAAACAGAAACTATCTTAGATTCTGAAGGAATTGGTTTCACGTGTATTGGAAGGACTGGAAGAACAAAAGAGAGGAAGAGGGATGCTGGAAGAGCAAATAGGAAGAAAGAGTAATAGCCAGAAATAAGAAAAATTGTTCATAGGTCTGCTTCGGTGTTGGAAGTGCTGTCCAAGTGGGACCTGGATTGGCAGAAAGGGCACCCCCTCAGCCAGGGCTGGAATTACTGCCAGTGCTGTCGTTGCCAGAACCTGGAGCTTCTCCCCTCTGCCACCTTCCAGTCACCCACAGTAGTGCCTCCTCCTGTTGGCAGGGTCCGCCTGGAAAGCTGAAGGCAAGGGAACCTGGAAAATGGAGTCCCTGCAGTACACGGTAGAGCATGGCCAAGTGGGAAAGGGGATTGAGCAAAAAGGAAAAGAACTGGGCCAAACACACTGCTGACTCTGAAGGAGAGTGAAGCAGAGTGGAAGGATAAAGAATTAAGAGTGGGGAGGCAACTCTAGTATAAGAAGCAGAGACCTGAGAGAAGTATGAGTCACATGAATGTATTCCAGGCAGAGGAAACAGCGACTACCGCGGATAGGAAGAGAGCAGCCAGGAGGCTAGTGTGGCTGCAGTTCAGTGAACGGGGAGGAGGAGCGGTAAGGGATAGGAGAGGTAGCTGAGGAACAGGACTTTGTAGACTGTGATAAGGACTTTAGATTTTATTCTAAGTATGATAGAAGGCCATTTGAGAATTCTGAGCAGGAGAGTGGCATGATCTGACTTACGCTTCCAAAGAATCATTCTGGCTGCTGTGCTGTATTAAATGCAAAGCACTGTTAGAGATAAGTTTATAATCTAGTGTTCTAAAATTCTACTTTTAAGAGCAATTGCCTAAAATAAAGGATAAAAAAGATCTAAAGCACGTCGATTCTATTTTCAGAAGTACAGAAATATATTTTTCGAAGTACTCATCTAGAAATATGTCCAGAAGTTAAATCTTATGATCACTTGATTTTTTTATTACCTAGGAACCTTGATTTCTGTGCAATATATATATAAATTTTCCTTTTTCGTTCTTTGCTTCTGGCCATTTTGCTACATTGCCAACACTTTCCATTAAAGAATGAGCAGAAAGACAAGATCGAAGTCTTCTGCTTTGCCTGAAAGACTTCAAGTTTGATATCTATATTATCCCATGGAAATTTGAGTATTTAATGTCACTAAATAAGCCTTTGATAAAAAATGGTGACGTTTAATAATGGAATTATCAGCCTATTATTCTGAGAATTAAACAAGTTTAAATTGCCATTTTAAATATCAGAATTTCGGGTGTTTGCTAATATAAAATTAGTCTTAAAAGATTTATTCCTTTTCTTTTTTTTCTCTTAGGAGGAAGAAATAGTACTTTTTTGTCTCATAGCATTAGTAACCAGGCTAATGTTCACCAGTCTCTTATAAGCTCCTGGCTCAGCACTGATCCTGCGAAAGACCGTATTGAGATCACAAGCTTGCTTCCCAGCAGGACTTTGTCTGTGAACAGTTTGGATGTCTTAGGTCCTTGTCTTGTTTGTGGAACTGATGCAGAAGCAATTTATGTTACTAGACAACTTTTTTCATGAAAATACTGTAATTAGAAGTTTTCAGGTAAAAACAAGTTAGCCTTTCAAATCCCAACTTCTATGCAAATTTTTATTACTGGAAAATGTGAAATTTGCAGAAGCATCAGTAAACTGTTGTTAATGACAATGCCCAGTTTTGCATTTTCTTAATTGGATATTCCCCTAATAGTTGCAGAATCTGATAGGTGACTGATGGCAAAAGAACTGGACCAAGTGGAGGAACATCAGAGGGACAATTGTGTTGATGAATACACTGCCTTCAGACAGACTATCCTGGACAGCTCATGGACCTGCTTTTTATTTTTGATATTGTGAAACTTAATACTGTCAAACCACCAATGGGTTCTAGTCCTTTTTGTCAACAGTATATGGCATTAGCCAACGTTAATGTTTATTCTTTTTATTGCATGTATTTTTTTCAATCCTTCTACATTTCATTTCCTTATGAATTTTAATAAACTTTTCCAGAAAGAATTGAGTAGAACAAAAGTGACAAATGTTTTTAAAAGTGAAAATGTTCTGGAAAGTTCCTTTATTAGAATCCATTTGGACAGAACTCTATCAGCTGATTAGACTCGACTTTATTTTTCTTGAAAAAAAACACATTTCCCTAAAGATTTTTGCTTTTTGTTTAGTTTTACGGTGTAGTCGAAAATGGCTAAACTGAACATTGTGCACTTAACACCGATAAGTGAGCCAACTTCTAAACTAAAATTTGATAGGTAACATGTATGAGACTACTATGACAGTGTGGCCAGAGTAAAGAATTTTGCCATCTTTATCCTTATCTGAGATGTTAATGATGACCTAGCATAGGTTTTAAGACAATTTTATGACATTGTCTTTCCAAAGTTTATTAAATGCATTATTGAATTGTTAAGACTTTAATGACAAGTCTATTATACAATTGAAGTATTTGTTCATTTACTTTATAATTCTAATAATAGTATTATGGTAAAGTTTTGCTTTTCTGTCCTAATAAATATTTTCAGTATTTTTATGCCACCTTGTGTCAGGGTGGTTTGGGGGTTTTATTGGTCAACATTTAAAAATGGAATACATACATGCTTTTTTAAAATATATATTTGGCTCAGAAATGGTTCATTAAAGATAACTAGTAACTTTGAATTCCAAAGGATCAGAAAAGGAAAGAAAATGTTTCTGATAGGAATTTTTAATCTATTTATAGTTTTATTGCTGGGACTAATTTTTAAGACCTTCTGTTATTACCAAAGTAATTCATTACAGAAAAAAACAAATATATAGTCAAAAGAAAATTTTAAGTACTCATAACTTTAGTAGCCTTTCATACCTTTTTATCCATCAATGTGTATATATTTTTTTTTTGTAAAAATGAACCATCTCATACCTATTATATTTCTAGATGCACATTCCCTAGCAGTAAACACATGGATTCAATAATATAAACATAACTATGAATTTTCCTTTGACTTTACATGTCCCTTTGTATGAATGTCTTGCTGTAGCCTAAGCTGCATTGTCCCTCTTCACCCAGTCCAAGCACCTCCCATTATCATCAGCAGGCTAACATCCTTGCTGTGTGGATCTCACTTCCAGAAGGTGGAACATTTTCCATGTACAGTGAATGCAAGCTTGTTGTGACTCTGCTTTCATCTGCATTATCTGCTGCTGAAAAGTTTGAAGGTTTTCACATGTTAGCACCCTTCTCAGTTTCCAGCATCAACGTATACAATTTCTCTTGATCATTCTAGTGCGTAATTGGTAGAGGGAAGGAGCCAGATATCTAGGCTTAGAATACTAGCTTGGACTGGGAATAGTTTTAAGTTTGAAGGTTTGCTTTAAGGTTATTTATAACCATGTGTAAAATAAATTACATTTGAATAGGGTTACATTCAGTACATTCAATACGAAAACCTTATATAGTATAAATAAAACTCATATATAAATTTGCTCATCGTCACTTACTCTCTTTATTCATGAAAGCATCAGAGATTTTTTTGAGGGCTACAGGATCTCAGAGGTGGTAGGCATCGTGGAGGGCATCTCCAACCTAAATTCAGTCATCTCTTCCACAGCATTCTCAACAAATTTTCATCCACAGACTTCAAAATGTACTGTGACCAAGTTTCTCATTTCCCAGTACAGCCTCTCTTCATTTGGATAGCTCTAGTTGATACAGCATTATGGCAGGGCTTAGTGTGAGTGGGACTCAAAATCCTGTAAAAGGTAGAATCATGTTATTGTGGGTTAATAAAATGATCATATGAACCTACTATGAGAAAGAGCCAATCAATTTGTTGAATTTGCATTATGCTGGAGGTACTTTACCATGAGTTTTCACTAAATAAATGAATTTTCATATACTGAACTGAAACCTACTTCCATGCGTCACCTTCCCTCGGGAGCCACAAAAAACAAATTCACATTCTAAACTACATATTGTAGCTTCTTTGGGTAAAACTTTTAATCTATCCCTTCAAAGGTTTCTTGTAGGCAAGGTTCCCTTTCCAGCCTTTCTTGCCCTTGGCTAAATCCTGCTCACCCTTCTGGACTCCTTTTAGGTGTCATTTTCTCAAGAAGGCTCTGCATGGCCTCTAACGATCTGGGCTAAATTGTACTCTACTTCAAAAGCCCATCGTGCAGAGCTCATATTGTGCTTACAGCAGTGTGTTAAGTGGCCTTCTCCCTCTACTGGCCTACAAGCTCAAAAACAGGGCCCATGTCTTAGTGTTATATTAATATTTAATACAGTATCTGATCCATAATAAGCACAGACTTAGTGCAAACTAACCTGAGCTCACAATCTTGTTTTTCCCTTTAAAAAAAATACTCCCATTTGCCAAAGGCCATTTTTCAAGTGTGATTTCTAAAATCAATTTTTAGGTGGTGTCTGCCTCACTGAGAGTATGACAAATCTTACCATCCTGATTCTTGTACGATACCTTCTGTAATGCTATCAGCTTATTTTAATAATTCTGACGTTTGTTCAATGAGACTGCTGACTAGTTGAACTAAACCCTTCGGTCTTCACACATGACACTCCTAAGCCATACTTTCCATATTCTTCAGTTAATGCAGATGGTTTTGATCTTTATTATAGGTCTGTTTTTCCTGTTCTAAGAAAAGTTTTATTTCTGTGTAGGAAAAAATTAACAATCTCCTTTGAATCTTTTCTGTAGAAGCTAAGTATTTCAAAATTGCTCAGCATGCTTTCTACATTTCTCAACCCACTGGTCAGGAGATAAGTGGACTAAAGTGCTTGGGCTCACTGCTAGAGTCTTCTCAATTATCAGTGACACATGACTCATTGGTATTTGGATACAGTCACTGAAATATTTATAAACCAATCTATTGACATTCTGCCCCATTTACCTTGTTCACAATGCTATTGTGAGAAAATATCTGTTATGCTATCATCCTATCAAAAACTCGGCATAACTGAAAAATTCCTCGTCCTTTATAAATAATACCATAGTACTGTGGAAATTTCCTTTTAATAAGCCGTACTAGAATCTTGCTCAAGAAGCATACTGGGTTCACTAGCGTAGTTTGTATCAAGCCTTTGTTTAAGCTTATGCTATCAATGTGGTATATAGCTCAGACCAATTAGATGGTCTAAAGCAGTAGCAGTGCTCTTGTTTTACAGATATGAAACCCAGAGAGATCCAAACTATGTCGTGCAACTATTTCAACTTTCATTGCATCATTCTGAACCATGACTAATGTTAAGTGGCAACGTAGAACAACTAACAGCTACATCCTAGATTACATTCTTCTTAGCATCAAAACAATTCCCAACAACACCTCACTCTATTAGAGGTGTACAAAGAGGGGAGAAACAATGAAAGGATGGGTGGGGTGAGATGGGAGAAGTAGAATGACTAGAATCTAGCTGATTATGTAAAAATTTTTAATTACTTAAAAATAAACTAATGTTCAGTTCCAAATTGTCATGACTGGACTTTAGGGGAAAGTAGCTGACAGTCCAGCTTAATAAAACCATCAGAAATGGATTCACCAGCAAAACAATTTTTGTGCAGGCCATAGATAAATGAAGCTAAACTGTAATTAATACTAGACTGTAAAATAATAGGCACAACAAAAGTTTTCGCCCCTGCATAATATGGAATGAAAAATTTAAAAATTTCTTTGCCAATGAACTTAAATTTAAAAATTTCTTTGCCTATAAGTAATGATACCCCAATAGCAATGAGTATGCCTAGAACCCAGATTTAGTTTCTAATATTATTCTCCAGTAAAAGGAACCAGGGCTCCTTGGAGGAGTAGGAAATACACATGATCAATTAGAGCATCTTGTAGTGCCAGAACGTAAGGAAGTTCTAAAATAAACTTACAAAGTCCACGATAATGGGAATATATCAAAGGGACAAAGCCAACTGGGAGAGCTCCCACTAGTCAAAGCTGGAAAAATTTCGACAAATAAAAAACAAAAAACCTAAAATATAAAATAAATATCCATGAGTCCGCATTGATAGAAATGCTTACATGAATAAATGGGGGAGAAGAGACAAATCTGTTCAGAATTCCGTATAATTTATATAGAGTCTCTGCCCTCAAGAAAGTAGAACACAGCTTTCTACTACTTCAGAATTCCGTATAATTTATATAGAGTCTCTGCCCTCAAGAAAGTAGAACACAGCTTTCTACTACTAAGGGTGAGTTGCTCGTAATCTAGAGCCTTCCCCTAAGATTGTATGAATTCCTGGGAGGGCTGACGCTCTCAGGGCAACTGGTCTCCATACTTCTTCCACATGTGCTGCAGGTTTCTAGTCACCCAAGCATGAACTTTGACCCTACATATGTTGATAAAAAACAAAACGAAACCAAAAAATACCACTGCTATGAAGCACTGAAGAACTGAGAAAGCTGAAGGGTTTTCCATCACTGCAATACAAAGCTCTTCAAATGCAATGGCAGATATTGCCATTCTCAGAAGTTCAGCACCTCTAGCAAGGTTTTCACCTTGTAAGTTGTTAGTTCTCTCCTGATTACTCCTCTCCTTTCCCTGCCCTTCTGTCCCTTTACTTCACAAGAGTAAACCTCCTTGTCTTAAAAAGGGCAATTCATCAAGCTCCTTGAATTATCTAGGAATTTTCCCAAAGACGGTGGTCTATGGAGATACTCCCCTTTACGCTTCATTGAGAAACTTAAGCGAAGAAGTTCCATGTGTTGGTGATAGAGGTGACAAGACTCTAGGGGTAATATGCTATTCCATATACATAATGCTGGAAAGAGCAAGCAGGCATGTGAACATATTAGATTGATCTAATTCATATAATTTTGAGGCTGAAAGGGACCCTGGAGATTACTTAGTCTCCCATAGAAGGAAAGTTAAGACCTAGGGCTTTTAAGAGACCCACTTTGGGTCAGTTCCTCTCCTACAAACTGTGCTTGTGGAACACAGATTTTCAACCAAGTGCTCTTAAAATGTAATCTTTTAACAGAGGTTTTCACATTCTGGATACAGTAGACAGTAACTAATTTAATAGCGAAAAAAAGTTAATTCAAAAAAATGTTAATAGCCTCTAGTAGGAAATTACGGAAGGGGATATTTGAAAATACCGGCTGCATATATTTTCAAGAAGCATAATTAGCAAAAGCGCTCTTTATAAACATTATGAACCCAATGAGTCCATCCCAAATTTCCAATTCAATTTAACAAAAAAAATGAAACCTCTTCTCACGGTCACCGTTATTCCAATTATAGCAATAATGACTTTCTCTTCTATCGATTTGGTTGACAAATAAAAATCTCTCAACTCCGTTATTCTTCCTTGGTTCAAGATTATCTGACTGATTCAGAAAATACTTAAAACTCATGGATTTACCGGGGTAAAGAGTGCTAAGTAAAAATTAATTTATTTCAAAGCCGCTAGAAATCCCGAAGCCTGATGCCCACAACGACGTTTCAAAGAGCAACTCATTAAGATGCTCATCTTTATTCTATATCCGTCCAAAGAAAGAGCTCAATTAGAAAAAGAGAGACTTCAGTAGATGCGTGGGCTTGGGCGGGCGAGAGCTTGGTCCTATCCACCCGGGCTAGTCATCGGGACAGCGTCAGGCGGGGGCGACGCGGGGCAACGCTCGCGAAGGCGCAGAGGAACCGGCGGAGGGCGGGAGGCCGCAGGCGGCGCTCTCGCCAGGCGGCCAGAAGGGCAGAAGCCCCCAGTCTTCAGCCCGCGCAAGCGACGCCGGGAAATGCCCACATCCGGGAAACCTGTAGCGGAGTGCGGCGGCGGCGACACCGAGTGGAAGGCAAAATGGCGGCAGCGACCGCGGCCTAGTGTTAAGGGGAGAGCCAGGTCCCCGCGACCTTCGCGACGGGCCGCGCTGGCCCGTGGCAGCCCCCCCAGCGTCTCTCCCCGCCCTTCCCCTTCGGGAATACTTGGGGTCCCTGGGAGGGGCTCCGATCGCGTCGGCGCCCGCCCTCCGGCCCGCGGTCGCTGTCCAGGAGACCCGCACTCTGTTGCAGGTAGGTCTGGGGCTGGCGTAACGGGTGGGGCTCACTCTCTCCATCGGAGCCCGAGTTGGCGGGGCGGTGGCCGCCCGGGCCCACGCCCGTCGCCGCTGGCGGGGCTCCAGGGGCTGCTGCGGACGGGCAGGCCGACCTGGCCCGGTGCGGGCCTATCTTGGCTGGTTGCGTGGACTTGAGATGAGCCCTGCCCTGGGGAAGCGAGGGTTGGCCGCGCTCGGGGCTGGATGAAGAACCCCAGGCTTTGCGGCCTTGGAGGTGCAGGTTAGGCTGGGAAGAGCCTGCCTTACTGGAGGCCTTGCGGCGATTGTCTCCGACCTCCGCCCCTGTCTGCAACACGCAGGGTTAACCGTGTAGGAAGGAAGGAAAGCGCAAGGTGGTTTTGAAGGAAAATTGCAGTCAAAGAGCTCCTGTTCTTTGCATCCTAGAGGGACCTGATTCTGAATATACCTTGAAGAAATCCTGAGAATTTCTGTTTACAGTCCACTCTAATATTAGGTTACTGTCCATAGTTGGAAAGGGTGGGAGAGATGGAGGGATCTTTATGGAGTAGGAGTGTGTATAGAAATACAGAAAAGGAAGGAAAGAAAATTAAGGGAACACTTTATTATTGAACTGCAAGAAGAACTTGTATCTTTAAGAACGACTCTCAGGTGACTTGCTTTAACCCCATTCTCTGAATTCTGCAATTGTTATTTTCTAAGGGAGGAAAGTTTAATGTTTGTCGACCTATATGTTAATATGATTTAAAATGTATGCCATTATGTAGAAGTTATTCATAAATCTAGCGAGAAATATAGTTGCACACACAAATAATATTGTACCACTGCAGTTTGGGAAATGGATTTGAATGTCTGAGGTCAGGCCTTTATGGATTATTTATGGAAGATTAAAAATCTTTATCAGATTTCCTCCATGAAGAAGAAAAGGTAGGAATATAATTATTTATTATAATTAGAATAAATGTTCTCTGCTAAGATACCTACTTCTGTGATTTAACTAAAGTTATTTCTTTAGTAAGTTGACAGACAAGTAAAATAGACTAGTTGATTCCCTAAGGCAGTGGAGGAATTTGACTGATTTAACAGTGAAAGAAGTAGCATTGTGTTCCTCTGATCAGCTGCTACTGCAAGAAACTAGATCATGGTACTTACTGGGAAAGGTGCAGTCTTTCCATGCTTGAATATTTATTGAACATGTCTTGCCACTCCCTAAAAGCAAATAAAATATTTCTGCTACATTTTTTTGGGTATGATATCATCTGGATTTCCTTCTATAGGTTGAGTTTTTATTTTTGCTTTTGTTTTTAATGCTAGTCCTTGATGTTCTATATAAATATGGCCCTGGAACAGTTCCAATTCTGGTTATTTAGTTTTTATTCTAGATGTTAGATTTAGATTAGTGGGGGATTTTTGTAGACCACAAAAATTATTTCATCATCGAACAACATTTTTATCAAGTAGACATGGAGCTGATTTTTCGCATGAAGATAAAATACAGTGATTGTCCTCACTTTTGATTAGTTCATTCTTAGAAAGCAAATTGAAGAAAATGTCGTTTTGCAGAGATTTCTTGAATATTGCTGTCTAAACAACTATGATTATGCTGCTAAGAAAGAAGCAGTGCATATTACTGTTGCTGTTGTAACTGATTTAGTCAGCATTGAGACAGGCCATCTTTTTTATAAACCTATTTCAACCCAAGATAATACTCTGAAATCTTTTTATGTAATGATACCTGTTTGTACCTAAGTTGGACAAGATACCAACAATATTTGTTTAGATTTACTGACATTTGCATATTTGATGAAGATCAGAATGTTCAAAGTAGTGGAGATTTTTGTCTATTCAGTCCAACCAATTTAAGTGTGCTTTCAAAGAATGAGTGAATCCTGACCCTGCTCTTGGGAAACTCAAGATGTAGGTATGATAAAAAGAGCCTTAGGCTGATTCTGGATGTGTAGAGTCCATTCCTAGCACAACCGCTAGCTGGCCACATGACCTTAGGCAGGCCACTTTCCCTTTCTGGATCCATTTCCTTATCTGGGGAGAGGAAGAAACAAACAAACACACACACACACACACACACACACCTCACTTTATGATTTATGACTCTGTAATCTGGTAGGAAAAATAAGGCAAGTACAAGAATAGGGCAAAACCAAATTTTATTTGATCATGTAAAGTGCATCTGGAGTTCAGAGAAGAGGGATAACAACAGTTTAATGAAAGCTTCGTGAAAGAGGCGTTTGGCAACTTAAAGGTTGGGTGTAGTTTCAACAAGCAATATGGCAGGAGCTCTCCCAAGAAGAATAAACAGGATGAGTAAGGGCATGAAAATAGAAAAGCACAAGGTATGTTAGCTGAGAACAAGTAATTTGGCTTGGTTAGGGTACACAGGGAGAGTGGGAGGTCTGGGTAAGATAGTGGAAAGAAGTAAGATAACAACATTTCTTGAATTGATCACTTATTCTAAACACTTATTCTAATATATTTAACACATATTAAAGTTATTTGACTCTCAAAATAACCCAATTAAGTAGGATCATTATTGCCCACATTTGAAGATGAAGGAACTGAAGCACAGCTTGCTGAGATTACACAGCTAGTTAGTGGTAGAACTGGGATTCCTATCGTTTGACTCCAGAGCTCTTTCTTCAACCACTAAGTTAAAGGAATCATTGAATGTTCAGAATAGGGAGTGACATGAACAGAAGGGTTTATTAGGAAGACTGGTCTGGCACCTGTAGCATGGGTTAAAGAGGTAAACTGTTTTGCCTTGTAGAGTTCTTTTAAAACGTCTCTTATTTTGAATTTTTACAAGTTGTATTAACAAAGATTACTTAGATTTGTTAATGTCAGTGTTGAGCATACCTTGTCGGAGGGGTTGTAAATTAGCACACCATTCTGCGAGGCAATCTGCCAGTAAGTATCAGAATTTTAAGTATGCAATTCCACTTCTGGGAATTTATCTTAAGGGAAATGCTTGATGGTCTGTGCACAAGAATTTTTATTGCAGTATTTTTTTTATTATCTAATTTTGATATGTACAAGGAATATATTATACACATGTAAGCTATGAATGATAATAAAATGAACTTCCATGAACTCACCACCCACCCTTAGAACTAGAATTTTACCATTATTTATAATAGCAAAAAAATTGGAAACAACCTAAATGCCTTGTAGTAGGGAATAGATAAATTATGATACATCCACATGTTGTAATTCAGTATATAGTTGTTTAAAAAGATAAGGCTGAATTGTCATATTTTCAGTTTTGAGACACTGTTAAGTCTAAAGCAAACCATCTATTAAGAATTTTTCACGAGAAAGAAAATAAATATAGTTTTTATTAAACTTTAGTAGCATACATTTAATCATTCAATTGCATACTTTTTTTTTTTTTTTTTTTTTAGTCAGGATGGAATCTCAGCTTTATTCACATTCAGAATGTGATTCTTCTGACTCTTCTGGGCTTTGGGTAGTTAACACATAACATCATGGTGACATACTTCTTTTGATAACCCTAGCTAATTGTCTTGAACCTCTTGTCTTTATGGCTGAGTATATAATTTTGAGGCATATTGAATACAGGATTTTGTCTTCCTTTTGCTTAGTTTTGTTTTTTCCCTTAGATGAGTGAGTTACTGCTGAAAATTAATGTTTCTGAAGATAACTCAAAACGTTTTGACAGATGTTTCATGTCTGAGTGCTTGTGCTTCATAAGAGCCTCTCTCACCTTTGAGGATTCTGTCATTTTGTCTACATTTGGCAATTGTTTATGCCTTTAATTGCATTGCCAATTGGGTGACAAACGGTTTCTGAGTCTGTAATGCTACATCACAGTGGAATCTTTTTGAGTACATTTTGAGCGTTAAACAAGGGTCTAGATTCAACCATACCTAGTGCTTGCTGCCAATGAAAATAATACAGTTGAAGTGACAAGGAAATTTCACCTTTTATTTATTTAGCTATATGCATTGTCTGCTATTTTAGAACTTTGCTACTTTGGAGTTGGCAGACTTTTTAATCTTGATTTTAAGATATACTCAATTTTAGAAATACTAGAATATAGAAAAGTATGCATCTTAGAATCAAGAAAATACTCCTTACTGTAGTAGAAAGACATTCATAGTATTATATTATTTTTTGATAGCATATTGGACCCTAAGTAGCAATAGCTATCTTCATAGGTCCTGTGGTCCCTATGTCCAGTAATCTCTCCATCAGGTCTGGATATGGCTCCTCTTGGTCCAGAGACCTGTGAAGTTATCTTTGTTCTCCCTTTCAGTTTCCCACTCACTCACCACAGTACACAATGGTAGAACAAGGATGGGAGGGCCAAAATAAGCACCACTATTAGAAAAGGAGAAGAATGAGAGATAGCAGCAATTCTTGATCTATAGTAATTTTGAAATTTTTGCAGGCAAATCTTGTGAAAGCAACCAGCCCTGGAGGTAGGAAAGAGTCCTTGATTAGACTTTGATTCTATTATCTGGGAGGAACTTTCTCATCCATCGTTCTCTGTGACCCGTCGCCATTATTTTCCAAGGGCCTCCTAGGAATTGTTTTTCAGATATCATCCTTTGCCACAGATAAAGTATAAGCTTTGCGGGGATATTCCTTCTTTGGAAGGTGCACATCTTTCTCAACAAAATTACTGCTGATAAAAGTTGAAAGCCCAAGGCTGTCAAATTTTGAATAGTCAAAATTTTAGTTTGAGCTTGAATGGTTAACAAAACATGGTTTCCTTAAAGTTTATAAGCCTCTGATGTGTTTAGATCCAGTCAATTCCATGTGTCAGTAACCATAACCAAAGTTCACATATGTTAGTAACCTCATCCAAAGGTTTGAGAACTCCCATTTTTCTTCTTAGTTGGTTATTTGAAGGCAGGCCATACCCTCGTGATTTTTACCACTGAGGTACTTTAGTTAGCTAAGAGGCTCCTGTGGGCATCTGTGCTCAAGGCCTTTTAATCCCATCTCCTCCTGTTTGGAGTCTAGAAGCAAGCTGCTTTTCCAGCCCTGTAAAACTTTACATTTCTGAACTCTTTCTGTTTCTTTTTATTTCTGCTTGCAAATCAGCTGCTTTTTTCCTGACCTTATCATTTATTTATAATATTTTGCCAAATAGCCAGTAACAGCCAACATTCACTTCTAAGATTCACTTTTCATAGAACAAGTTCAGTAGGCTCTTTGTCACCATATAAGTTATAACAGGCAATAGCTATATCAGATATTTTGCCACTGTAAAACATGGTTCTCCGTTTTTCTAGCCCCCAGTATCAGTTTTTTTGAAGCCCTCATCCTGACCACTAATCTATATTAAGTTTTCGTTATAGCAGCACTTCACTTCTAGGTACCAATATTAGTTTTCTGTTGTAGCAGCACCTTGCTTCTAGGTATTAGGATAATGAGAGACAAATAGGCCACGGCCACACCATGTATGAAAACAGAACTCTGACCAGCGCCTCAGTAGTAATAGGCCCACACAGTCAGGTCTTGGTCAGTAAGTGCCTGCTTTCAACTCCAGACCAACCAGAGAAAGCCAAATGTGCTCTCCATAGGGTGCCCGCTTCTAGTTAGCTGGCCTCCGCTTTCTTCTGGCAGCAACCTACTATCAGGGCACACCTGAATCCTTCTCCCTTTTTTTCTATGTATAAATTTTTTCCACTTCCCTGCCTGCCTTTGATTCTCTGCCAACACAAGTGACGGCGGCTGACTCCCTTGACATAACAAGCTCTGAATAAATAGACTCTTCTTGTTTGGGTTAGTCTCTGTTTACTTCCACAATAATATTAGGCCTTTTTGTGGTTTAAAATAAATAAAATATCAATGACTTAATAGATTCCTATCTTGTTCACACAAAGTCCAGTGGGGGTCAGTAGTAAGCCATCCAGTGGCTTAGGGACCCACATTCCCTCCATTTGGTGGAGCTACCATCTCAAAATATGACCTGCATGGTCATTGAAGACATCTTCAAAGTCCCCTTTTCCAAATAAGATAACATTTGTGGATCCCAGGGGTTAGGAGATGGATATCTTTTTGAGATGCCATTATTTAGCCTACAACAGCTGATTATCTCTGTTGAGGGAAGTGAATTACTAGGGACTTCTACTTTACATAGTTATATAGTATTTGAAGTTTTTAATAAGAATGCATCTTTTTATAATTAGAAAAACACCCAGCATTATATTTTCTTAAAAGTAAAAAGAAAGGATAAGTCACCTGCATTTATTAGTTCAACAGATTTTTTTGCACAGCCTGCTGCTTACCAGGTCCTCTCTTAGGGGCATGGAAGGAAATGCTGTATCCTGACAGAAGCAAAACTATGCTTTTTTTTTTCCCCTTCTCTACCAAGAATGATCTTGGAAATGGGAAGAATAACAAAATGATGGTTAGCTAGCAGTTGAAACTCATAAGATACTAAAAGAATGCCTAGCTGCTAAAAATGAAAGGCAACCCAAATACTAAGAGAACATGTGAGATCACACAACCACTATTGTGAATGCTTCATCGTGGAGAAATGATAGGTTCCAGAACCAGAAATAGAAAATATCTTCACTTCAAAAAGGGCGAGAAGGTGAATTCTGCCAATTTTAGACTGGTGAGCTAAATGTTAAATCTAGAAAAATTCATTAGTAAGCTATTAATATTTTGGGAAGGCTTAGGGGGAAAAATACTTATCATTAGGGTCCATCTTTTTTCATGAAAGCACAAGCTGTCCTAATTTCATATATGAAGTAATTATCAGTAGATCGGGTTATATTATAGACAGATTATGTGTAATTTTCAGTAACACAATGACAAACTTCATCATATTTGTTTTTACAAAATGGGGAAATGTGCATATTAAGTAGAATTTGATTGATTTATAACTAATTCAGCAATTGTACGGTGAGAGTACTGATAATTGAGGTGAAGTCATCAGGAAACTGCCTCTGGTGGTCTGCTTCAGGAATTTATCCTGTCAGGCCTGCTGCAGATATTCATGTATGTGTACATATAAGTAATGTTCATAAATATTTTAAGAACTGAAGGCTTACTTTAACAGCTCTAAGATATCATTTATACAATGAAGTTTACTCATTTAAAGTATACAGTTCAGTGGTTTTTAGTATATTTACGGAGCCCTACAACCATCACCAGAATCTAATTTTAAAGTAGAAAATGGCTTTATTTAATATGTAGTGTTTTGAAGCTTGCCTTTTTTACTTAATATATTTATTCATGTCAGTACATTTAGAAAGAACCGCATCATTCTTTTTAACAGCTGCTTCATCACATATAAATATACTATGAATTACTGGAAAAATTATTGATGAGCATCTAGATTGATGTAATCTTTTGCTTTTATAGATAGTGTTGCAAGAAACATCCTACATCTTCAGACACTTATGTGTCTGTTTCTTTAATTGTATTGCATTGTTTGTCTTAGACCTCGTTCAAGCTGTAAGGTAAATCTTGTTACTCCAACCATTTTGTCCCTTAGAAGACAGTTGTTGAGAGAATTAAATACCCAAGTCCACATTGCTAATAATTAACAAGTACTTGAATAATTTTTTTGTTTTTCCATTATAAGTGCTGTGCTTTTTTTTTTGGTCAAACTAGAGTGTATCCAAAAGAGCATAACTAGAATTAGGGAACAGCTAAAGGAACTGGGGATGTTTAGGAGACAAATGTCTATTTCATTTGTTCGACATATGAGTTCATTGAGTACTCACTGTGGTCCAGGTTCTGATACAGGTGGTGCACAGACAGTGGTTAAGAGACAAATAAGGTCCTCTCTCAGGGAGCTTTATTTCAGTGAGGGGAGATAGACGATAAACAAGAAAACAAGTGAAATCATTTTAGATAGTGATAAGAATGTTTAAGAAAAGTAAAACAGGGTAATTAGGTGACCAGGGAAGGGTCTTTGAGGAAACAGGGCTGGTACCTAAGTGACAAGGAGATATCTATACCTGTCTATAGACATCTTTATGTAACAGGAGTGGTGATTATGCTAATGAGAACAGAAGTAGGCTCCCAGTAGATGATAATTATCAAATTATCAATGTTTCACATCCTAGTATACCACTTACAAACTATTTTACTTCTGAACCTCAGTTTCCTCATCTACAAAGTAGAGATAGTAAACCTACCTCACAGAGCTGTTCGGATAGTTAGCTAAGGGTATAGGCAAAGTTGTTTAGCATCAGCCCAGTAACAGGCTGTCAGCATGCACTGAGTGAGGTTTCATCATGCTCTACATAAAGAAAACATTTCTCAGTTTGTGTAGATTACAAATGAAATGGCTTTCTTGAGTTAGTGATTTTCTATCAGTGAGGACATGTAAGTAGACTTTGGATGTACATTTATGCATTAAATGAAGAATAGGGCATGTTGTCCTCAGAGGTCTTTTCTCCATCCCATTATTAATAAGTGTACTGTCTCTAGAGTCCCAGTCCACAGTTTGGGCAGTTTGTTTTTGGGTATCTGTTTTTGAAGAGTAAAGGCTAGTGGATTAAAGACCTTTTTAAAGCAACAATACTCCTTTTTCTAAAGAAATCTTATTCTCGAAGTCTAATTTGTAAAATCTAAAATTGGAGCTGCTAGGTGAAGTTGATGAGAGGTTGCCCGTTGTATTAATTATTCACTTAGTAATCCCTTGCATTTGTATAAATTTTATATGCTTACTAAAGCACTCTTGAAATTATTTTTTATCATCATAACCACTACTTGAGGTAATTTTATGGATTAGGAAATAGGCACAGATAGGTTAACTAACTTGTTTCTGTCATAGAGTAGTCCATAGTGGAGCCAGAACTATAACCTAGGACTCTAACTCCTACATGAGTGGAATTTCCCCCCCCCCCAATTCATGATACTGCATTATCAGTTAATCACTTTATAGCTTTTACTTATCTTTTTCTTTTATAGGGTTAATTATTTAAATTGTAAAGAATTTTAATATTCCTGCGAACTTCTGCAAAGGATCTTTTTCAGTTTTTCTCAAGAAGGCTCTGAATCTATCAAGTAGCTCTTACAGAAGTCTTGTGTGTGGGTTATATATAGAGATATTTTCATGAAGAGGAGTGAAAAGCCAGAAGGATATAGACAAATGAGGCCTAAGACCTTTCCTGCCAGTAACTATACTGGCAGCAGCCGGCAGATGTTGCAAGAAATTCGGGAATCCCTTAGGAATTTATCCAAACCATCCGATGCCATTAAAGCTGAGCATAACGTGAATAAAATGTCAATTGAAGATCCTCGACAAGTCAGAAATCCACCTAAATTTGGGACTCATCATAAAGCCTTGTTGGAAATTCGAAACTCTCTACAACCATTTGCCAATGAAACAAGCCGGAATACTTCAGAAGTTAATCCACAGATGCTTCAAGATTTACAAGCTGCTGGATTTGATGAGGTAAGAACTTTAAAAGACAAGAGAAAGGATTTTTTTTTACTTTGTACTAAGTAACACATTTTAAGTGGTCTCCTGCTTGAATGTTTCCTCTGAGAGAATTTAACATGTATGCAGATTTGTATACTCTATCAGCAAAGAATGTTGTTCACAATTCCATAAATTATTAAAACACAATAATTATTCTTTAGTTTTCTCTCTGGTTTCTGGAATTTAAAAGGTCAAACCAGAAAGTCAAAGTGGAAGTGCAGTTGAAGGAAGCCACAGGTGAAGGCAGGGTAAGGACATCTGTGTATAAGAGGAGCTCTGGTGAGCTAAATGGCTATTGCAGAAATGACAGCTCTAAGGATAGGAAGTTTTAAGTTTATAGTACAGAAGAAGAAATATCAGGGGTTTCATTAAGCACTTAGGTTTATATCACTCTCAGGCCCAAATCTGAAATTCGCAAAAACTAAAAATTTACATGTTGCTCAACTCCAAGAATTTCAAAGTTTTATTTTAGTGAAATTTCAATTCATGTTAATTATGCCAAGTTTTTAATATTTATTTTCAGAACTTATTTAAAAAGTTTTTTATAGCACATATATTTAATCATATTTTGTTATTAGTAAAAGTAATTCATGACAACATACATTATATGAATATTTTAGGTGGCCTAAATCATTTTAGGTGAAAATTGGCCATGGAAAATGTAAATATGAATAATCAAGTGTTAATTTTTTTTCAAAATTATAGGAACTTTTTTCCTGATTATAAAAGTAATATCTGTTCCCTACTAAAAATTGAGAAGTATAAAGCAGAAACTGAAAGTTACCTTTAGCTCCACAAGACAAAGATAACTACCCTTAACTCTTCTTTTCTATCGTTAATATTTTGGTGAGCACATTTGCAGATATCTCTATATTTTAAAAATGAAAATCTAAGTTTGCATTATAGTGAAAGGGAAATATATGATTAAATTAGGAAGAAAAAAGATTATTCTTTCTGGCTCATTCTATTAATCCATTTGATTAATATTCTTATAATTTTTATGCATAAGTGTTTTAAAAATATCGGATTTGCATGAGAAGACAGAGAGGAAGAGAGGACCTGGGATGTTTTTTCGGCTAGTAGTTGGAGGATTCAGGAAATGGCTTGAATGGAGATTCTCCAGAATACTGAACTTTCTTCCCAGTCTTTTAGCCAAAAAGTGAAGAATAAAGACACAGCTAAATCACTGCTCTTATTTTTTCCTTTTATATATTGCTAGGGAGAGTTTAGAAAACCACACAGCTATAAAGGCTCTTAAATGGTAAGGTGTTATGTCAGATAAGTTACCTCAGTTGATATGTATGTGTGAACTCATCAGTCAGGATAGTTAATCAAACATGTTCCATATCTTTAAGGAACTTAAAAATTCTTCCTAATGTAGACAGTTTTAAGAAATCTAAGGCGTTCATCTGTGCCCTGTTCTTTTATCTTTTGGCAATAATAACAATAATTGCTTTTCGGTACCAAGATATGTTAGCTTTATTACAGTCACACACTTCAAAATTGTCACCTTATGACATTAATAACCCCTTAAGGAATCTTTACTAAAAGCGTTTAGACATTTATCAATCTTCAGTTGTCCAAGTAAATTGTATTATTTACACCCACGATGATACAAAGAATATGGCAGTTTACTTCTGCTACGTCCTTGAATCACTAATTCTAATAGCTTCTCATTATATTGCAGAATTTATTCAAGATCCCACCTTAGCAGTTGAAAATCCTTATCCAATTTTCACTTTATTATTTATATCATTTCTTAAGCTCTAATCTATTTTTCGCTATGCCAAGTTCAAGATAGTTTTAGTTTTTTGAAAATATTTTTGGGGGGCTCTGTAAAATTAAAACCTCAAATATTTCAAGATTAATTTCCTCATGGGAATAAATGTTAAATAGGATTGATGCATTCTTGGGACACATAAATCTACAATCATTGGAGTGTATTTGCTTCTAAGTATGAAAAGCAAAAGCATAGTAATGTGGACATAATGTTTTCTTATCACATAAGACTTCTACTCCAAAGTTACTGATTTAAAAATATTTTTAACATATAGGAATAAATATTGAAAAATAAAAGCCAGCATAAATTATCCCTAGAATCACAGGCTGAAATTCTGGTGCATTTTACAAGAATATGGTTCCCACAATATTGAGAAAAGATTCATGGGCGCCAATTTTCTTACCAACTGAGATGGCACTGCTGTGTGATAAGAACATAAATATAGGTACAGTTCAGTTGGCTTAAGCAATTTTAAATTTAAGGACTCCCTGGTGAATTTCAATTTGGGGTGACTTATATTATTTTAAATTTGCATATAAAGTGAGACTTATTAATTCCTTTGTATTTCATTACAAATTTGCAAAGCCTGATTGACATAAAATGTGAACACACCATACCTTTCTATCAGTTAAGGATTGGGTTGGGTTGCTTTTAACAAAAATCCAAACAATGCTTTAAACAAAATAGTTACTCAGATTATATAGCTAGCATTGGCCTCTTAAAGATTTCAGAACCAATGACTCTTAGGAGTTTCTTGAATTTTTCTTCTTGGTGACAATATGCTCTAGCACAGATGGCATATCTGTTGTCTAGGAAACAGGATAGTGCCTAAAGCAGAGATAGTGACATTTTTTTTTCAGAATCTTTGCTTTTATCTCATTGGTCAGGTGGTTTTATGGTCACTGCAGCTATAAGGAAAACTTCTACCCAATCAGTAACTTTTTCCAAGGAAGGGAGAATGGATCTTGAGTAGGCAACACGGTTCTGCCACTACCTTTTTTGTTTGGTCTCACACTCGTCTCCAGTTGTTTCACATAGCAGGATCATCTATCAGTAGCCTGTTCACCCATGAGTCTTACTAAGCCATTTCTCATTTAAAAATATTATTCGAAATACTGAATCCTCTAGAACAAGTAAGTAGCTGCCTACCTCTTGAAAAATGCATGTCAGTATACTTTCTGCATGTTACTGCATAATTTATATTTACATATAACATAAATGACTAGGAGCAGAGCAGGAGGACAGCCCACATCTGAGCTTTAGGCACTATGCTTATGTGCTTTTACATGTTTTTTCATTTAATCCTCACATCAGTTCTGTGAGTCTATTACAGATGAAGAAATTGAGCTCCGAAATGTTAAATAACTTGCCAAAGTTCACACAGTTCTGAAGTGGGGCATATAAATCTACAATCACTGGAGTGTATTTTTGCTTCTAAGCATGAAAAACAAAAGCATAGTAATGTGGGGTTGCTGGAACTCAAATCAGTTCTGTTTGATTCCAAACTCTGCTTTTTCTGTCATATCATCTAGCCTCCTAAAGTGTTCACGTAATCATATATAGTCTAAATGTTTTTCTTCCACCATTTTTCCTATATTTATGTTCTTATAAATAAAGTTCTCTGAAAATGTAAGCTCTAGGAGGATAGGAACCAGAACTACATAGTTCTTTTACTAGTAATGCTGTAGCAAAGGTGTTTAATAAAATGTTTTAACAATACAAAAAAGTGGTTTTCAGTATTTTCAATGATACCTTTTAACAGTCTGATAGTCTGTTTGTTTATATAAAAATGAAATTAAGAATGAGTAATAATCAGAATCACATTGCTGTGATTGTTCCTGGAAGAAATTAATTCTAGAAGAAAACAGTGATATGTTACATAGAGGTGAAAATATTAAAGAAATATTTGAAGGATTTGAGGGTTTGTTTTGTTTAGTAATTTGAGAATGTATGGATTTTTATAGTAGTTTTACAAATAAGACATGAATATTATGGTTTGGGAGCCTATTCATAATTATGGATTTGTCTAGTGGAATTCATAGTGTTCTTTCCCTCTTATTAATTATGACTTAAATTTTGTTCCTTTTTTCAAATTTCATACCAGGATATGGTTATACAAGCTCTTCAGAAAACCAACAACAGAAGTATAGAAGCTGCAATTGAATTTATTAGCAAAATGAGTTACCAAGATCCTCGACGGGAGCAGATGAGTGCAGCAGCTGCCAGACCTATTAATGCCAGCTTGAAGCCAGGTGATTAATCAGACTTTTCCCTTAGGCTTTTATTTTATAGCATTGTTTTAAAATATTTAAGTATAGCAGATCTTTAGTCTTAGAAGTTGTTAAAAGCATCATAGTAAACAAAAGTCTCAAATTAGGATAATAGTGTTATACTATGCTGAAATGAATTATAGGATGGACCCTAAAGTTCTATAGGTAATTCTGATAGGCAGCAGTCTAGTTGCGAACTTATTTTGATTCTTACTGTTTATGCAAAAAATGGGTCATACTAAGTCCTAATTCATTCTCTTAATATACCATGCATAACTTTCCTTATTATTAAATGGACTGATTTTAATAGCTACATTAAAATAGATTTATCACATACTTTATTTAACCAGTCTCATTTTTTGACGTTTGCTTTGTTTTCTCCTTTTATTTTTATTTTTATTTTTTTGCCATTGTAGACAGCCTTGCTGTAAATGCTCTGGTATCTAAATATTTGTGCAATCCTAATGATTTTGTAAAAGTAAATTTTTAAAGACTTGCAAAAATTTAAGGTTTCTCTTAGATTTTACTGTCAGAAAGGTGTACCAACTTATATTCTCCCAATTTAATATGAGAATATCTATATTTCTAAGTCTTAGGTATTATCATTTTTATGTATTTAATGGCTGTGGAAAGACTCATTTTACATTCACATTTCTTTGATCAGTGGTAAGGCTGAACATTTGTTTATTGGTTATTTTTAAACTGGCATTTTAATTCTTTGTTAATCTTGTGTTTGTCTTTTTTATTGACTTATAAGAGGCCTTATTTATTCATTTTTTCTTTTATTCAAATTTTTATTGATGAACTACTGTTTTTTGCCCTTTGTTTGACATTGGGTATAAAGTTCTTGTCCTTTTGTAGAGTTGACATTCTACTAAGGAAGATCAAATACTCACACAAATACATGTAGAACTACAACTATGTAAGTATGAATGAAAACAGGAAAGTTACATGGTGCTGTGGACTCATATAATGGAGAGATTTTGGCCTAATCAAGGAGATCAAAGAAAACCTTCCTGTGACACTGATAATAGAGCCACTGTTTGAAGAAAGACAAAGGTTAATGGGGATGGGTTTAGTGAGGAAGTGTGTCGTTATGCGTGACCTGTTTGGCAGGTTTTGATACCACATTAGAAGAAATGAAAGTGGCTAGAGAGCACTGAAAACAAAAGTATGGGGTATGACTGGAAAACTACATAGGGGCCTGACTGGGCAGGACCATATTGATGTTATCCTAAGTGCAGCAGGAAGTTATGAAAACGTTTCAAACAGGGTGATGACATAATTAGATTTGTGTTTCAAAAAGATGGCCAAGTGGATAAGAACAGAGAAGAGAGGAAGTAAGAGTATCTGGATGGACTTGATAAGAGATATAGTAGTTCACAGAAAATGAAGGTAATCTGGACTAGGGTGATAGCAGTGGAGAAATATGAATGAATTAGAGATGGGAAGAGTAAAATCGACAAGGTCTTGGTGATTGATTACATATGGGGGATGATGCTGGAGAGGGATGACTCTTAGGCTTTTGGTGTGGAAAATAAAAGGGTGGTGATGTACCACATTATCAAAGGGAATGCTAAGAGATAAGTCTGGCTGCAGACATAATGTTGAGTTAGACTCATTGAGTTATCTAAGTGAAGATGTCAAGTGGGGAGCTAGATAAAAACAGCTCCTATATTAGCCCTGCATGAAATAGGTCACACAAAGGCGATAACGTGGACAAAAATGACAAGATGGACAACCAAGCCTGTTACTCAGTAGCTTATAGGAAAGGATAAGCCTGCAAAGAAGACAGAAGAATTAGCTAAAAAGGAAGTTAAAAAAAAAATAAAATAAAATTTCTAGTGTCTTGAAAGCCTAGGGAAGAAAATGTTTCAAGAAGGGGCAGGAATAGTCAAAATGCCAGACACTGCTAAGAAAGGTCAGCCAAGGTGAGAACTAGAAAATATCTCGTTAGCTTTAGAGACATGGTACCTCAGTTTACTAGGGCTGCTATAACAAAGTACTACAGACTGGGTGGCTGATGTAACAGATTGATTCTTACACAGTTCTGGAGGCTAGATGTCAGATCAGGGAGACAGTAGGTTTGGTTTCTCTTGAGGCCTCTCTCCATGGCTTGCAGATGACCTTCTCACTGAGTCCTCACATTGTCATCCGTCTGCATGCACATGTGTCTGGTGTCTCTCTCTGTGTGTCCAGATTTCTTCTTATAAGGACACAAGTCATATTTGATAAGGCCCACTCTATGACTTTATTGAATTACCTTTTTAAAAGCCCTATCTTCAAACACAGTGCTGTTCCAAGGTATTGGGAGTTAAGACTTACTGAATTTTAGGGGGATACAGTTCATTCCAGAACACATGGAATAACTTGTTTTTGTTCAGTCATGGGAGCATAATTCAGATTGTAATGAGTTGAGGAATAAATGGATATGAAGAACTCAAGTATAGTCAGTTCTTCGACAAGTTTTTTCTATGAGAGAATGAGGACATTAGTAAGAATAGTGCTTCATATCCACAGTGAAGATTTTTTTTTTAGTTTTTAATTTATTACCGATTAATAATTTTATAAACTGTACTAATCAATTATTAGAAAATTAAAATTTTAAATGATATACAAAATATAAGTCCAAAGATTTCATTATTACATTTAACAGACGTAAAATTATTTTGTCAAATTTCTGTAAGTCTTTAAATTTTTACTCTCAGCTTCCCTGCTTACCTGTGGTGGGCCAATGTCTGTGGACCAGCACCAAATGACAGTTTGAGGAAGTGGTGTCTGCGTGGGAGCAGAGGGAGAGCCTTATTATTACTTTCAATAGGAAAGTCCTTAGGCATACTTAAAAGATAGTTATAAAACTCCAGTTAAGAGAATGAAATTAAATATTTGCTCTAACAGGAGCAAATGAGCCTAGGTTATATAGAGAAGAGAAAAGAATTTCTTTCTGATGCCTTCAGTTTTCTCTGAAGTAGAAAATTAAGTCATGTGCCAAGAGTGATGGGTGAAGAATGGGGCGGACAATTCGAAGACACTGAGGACTGGCAAGAATCATCGTGGAGACCAAAAGAAACAGAATTTACTGGAGATGCTGAGGCCATTTGATGATGCTGATCATGAATTTGTGGTAGAATCAATCTGCTCTTTACATTACCTCTCAAGCAGGCATGAAATGAAGTAGATAGCTGGAATCATCCTTGACTGGAGTTTTACTAAACAAGTACAAAATAAGATACAGAGATAAAAGGAATTCAGACTGTTGTGAAAGGGTAATCCTTAATCAGAGCATATTCTTCCTCTGCTTTTAGCGGCTTCTCATTCCTTCCAGACTCCTCTCCATGGGTTCCTTGCTCTCATAATTCATCTAATAACACTCTTCCCTACATTTACTGCTCCCTAGCCATACTGGGTTTCTTTTTGTTCTTGGAAAATAGCAAGCTCCTATTTCAGGACTTTTGCTCAGTCTCAGATCATGTATCCTTGGTGGAACCTTTTGACCACTGACTTATCCCTTTCTATCCTCCTGTCACTCTGTCATTGACACCATTTATATTTCTTTCATGTAGCATTTATCATACCTGAATGTTACCTTGTTTATTTATTCACTTGTTTATTATCAGTCTTCTCTCAAAAATGTAGGTTCCATGGAGCTAGGGATATTATCTTGTTCAGCAGTGTACTTGGATTGCTTAAGCCAGTGCCTGGCATATAGGTGCCCAATAAATATTTAATGAATGAGTAGAAAGGAGGAGAAGGGAAAGGGAATACAGAGGGAAGAAAGAAGTGATGGATCATGGATTTAAATTGTTTAAAGTATGTCATAAAGAAAGGAGGACTGATGAAGTAGGGGATTAGCACTGGAGGGCTTGATGAGGTTGAAGAACGTTACAGTAGTAGTTAAACATGAGGAGAAGTTGGGGTCCAAGAGTAGAAACCTTAAATTAGTAATTTTGAAAAAGCAGCAGCTATGAGTGGTATCAAAATTAGAATTGTGATCTTGGGAGTGATATTTGATGTGGAATGGAGGGGAGGTGTTCAAGAAACCGAGAGATGAGGGTGATGGATGGTTAGTCTATGTGGATGTTGAAGCTACAGAATGTTGGAAAGGCTTAGGGTAGACTGAATGCCAAAGTTTTGGGTGGTTGAGGGAGAGCAAGTAAGAGTTCATTAAGTGGGAGGAATGAACGCAGCATACTAAGTAACATGAGTTTCCAAAGAGCTGGCTTTTTAAAAAGTATGAAAGAAAGCAATTACCTGGAAGGATAAATGGAGAGCAAAGAGGTAGCATCCACTTTTTAGCCAATTTATTTTTGAAGAAAACCTTAATTGCAAAGGTCTGAAAGGAAAGTAATGTCAGCAGAAGGTGGTTGTGGGAAAGCTTGGTGTAGAGGTTAGTGATATAGGAGCATTTGCTGGTTACAGAGTAGAGCATGTCTAGAGGGTAACTGTGGCAAGGTGTGGGAGGTGGGAGAACACAGAGAGCTTTATGGGAGGTGCAGAACAACAGAGGCGGCAGTCTGCTCTAGGGTTGCAATGACTTGCGTTTTAACTGGTAAAAGCTGGGTGAGTGACATGGTGTATTTAGCCTCAGCTGACTATTTGAGGAAGGTGGCCAGCAGACTTGTCTAGCTTGCTCAGAGTGATGACTTTCCCTGAAGTCACAGACCCAAGATGCTGCCCAGCCAAGGTGAAGAATGTTAAACTACGTTATGAACATTTACTAATTTTTTCTCATATGTGTTATTAAATATATTTTATCCCTAGATGACATTTCTGGTTTGTTTTGTTTTGATGGTGATGAGTGTTTTATGTATTTAGATCTCTTAGCGTTTTACTGTGTTCTCTACCTTTGTCATACTTGGGAAGACCTTCCAAGGAGGTCCTCTGTAATTTAATATTCACTTGTTCTTTCCTAATACTTGCATGGTTTCATCTTTAACACTTAAATGTTTAATCCTTCTGGAATGTATTATTTTTATTGTATTATATACAAAATTATTTTTATTGTATTTTATATAAATTTATTACATATAATGTATTATGTATCTTTTTCCAAGTGGCTAGAATATTTTAAGTAATTTTTTGTATCATATTTTCTTGCCTATTTCATTTATTTGGTAATTCCACTAAAGAATGACTCTGTAAAATCTATAACTTAGTGTTCATTCTGCTAATTATCCCCTGCTGTCTTTTTTGTTTTAAAAGCCATATTTAAATTTATTTAGAATTAGTTATTATATCCATCAAAAAAGTACAAATGGACACATTGTTTGGTTCACTAATGCCACTTCTGATAATTTACTTAACATGCATGAAATGAAATCTGTATAAAATTTTTCATTGATTTTGTAAAGCAAAAGCCTTTAACAACCTTAATGTCCATCAATAGAGAACTGATTAAATGAATTTGGGTATATCTGCACAGTGAAAAACTGATAACATTTTTTTAAAGTAAGGAAACATTTTATATACGGGTAAAGAATCTTCTACTTTTTAATGAAAAGAGTGATGCAAATAGCATATGTAGGAGGTATACTATTTATTCCAAGCTAAAATTTTCAAAAATAAGAGATTAAAAACATGTTTTTTTCTCTCTCTCTGTTTTATGACCATAGGGAGTATGCAACAATCAGTTAACCGCAAACAAAGCTGGAAAGGTTCTAAAGAATCCTTAGTTCCTCAGAGACATGGTCCACCACTGGGAGAAAGTGTGGTCTATCGTTCTGAAAGCCCCAACTCGCAGACAGATGTAGGAAAACCTTTGTCAGGATCTGGTATAACTGCATTTGCTCAAGGTCACCCTAGCAATGGACAGAGAGTGAACCCCCCACCACCTCCTCAAGTAAGGAGTGTCACTCCACCGCCACCTCCAAGAGGCCAGACTCCTCCTCCAAGAGGTACAACTCCACCTCCCCCCTCGTGGGAACCAAACTCTCAAACAAAGCGCTATTCTGGGAACATGGAATATATGATCTCCCGAATCTCCCCCGTTCCACCTGGAGCCTGGCAGGAGGGCTATCCTCCACCACCTGTTAACACGTCCCCATTGAACCCTCCTAATCAGGGACAGAGAGGCATTAGCTCTGTTCCTGTTGGCAGACAACCAATCATCATGCCAAGTTCTAACAAATTTAATTTTCCACCAGGGAGACCTGGAATTCAGAATGGTAGTGGTCAAACTGATTTTATGATACACCAAAATGTTGTCCCTGCTGGCGCCGTGAATCGGCAGCCACCCCCTCCGTATCCTCTGACCCCAACTAATGGACAAAGCCCTTCTGCTTTACAGACAGGGGGATCTACTGCTGCTCCTTCATATACAAATGGAAATATCCCTCCATCTGTGATGGTGCCAAATAGAAACAGTCATAACATGGAACTTTATAACATTAGTGTACCTGGACTACAAACAACTTGGCCTCAGTCGTCTTCTGCTCCAGCTCAGTCGTCCACAAGCACTGGGCATGAAATCCCTACATGGCAACCTAACATACCAGTGAGGTCAAATTCTTTTAATAACCCTTTAGGAAATAGAACAAGTCATTCTGCTAATTCTCAGCCTTCAGCTACAACAGTCACTGCTATTACACCAGCTCCAATTCAGCAACCCGTGAAAAGCATACGTGTATTGAAACCAGAGCTACAGACTGCTTTAGCACCTACGCACCCTTCTTGGATACCACAGCCAATTCAATCTGTTCAACCTAGTCCTTTTCCTGAGGGTACCACTTCAAATATGACTGTTATGCCACCGGTTGCTGAAGCTCCAAATTATCAAGGCCCACCACCACCTTATCCAAAACATCTGCTACATCAAAACCCATCTGTTCCTCCATATGAATCAATCAATAAATCTAACAAAGAGGATCAGCTGAGCTTGCCCAAGGAAGATGAGAGTGAAAAAAGTTATGAAAATGTTGATAGTGGGGATAAAGAAAAGAAACAGATTACAACTTCACCTATTACTGTTAGGAAAAACAAGAAAGATGAAGAGCGAAGGGAATCTCGTATTCAAAGTTACTCTCCTCAGGCATTTAAATTCTTTATGGAGCAACATGTAGAAAATGTACTTAAATCTCATCAGCAACGTCTACATCGTAAAAAACAATTAGAGAATGAAATGATGCGGGTAAAACCTTTCAAAATGTCCATTTTTGTACTCCATCTATTTGCTAGGTGTTTCTTTTAAAATATAGTGGTCTAGTATTTTTTTATAGCTAAATATATTATCAATTATTTAAAAGTCAGTAAACGTTAAAGTACTTTTTATTATAGCATTTTATTTTAGTATTTCAAGGTTTACTCATAGTTTCCTATAATAAAGTTCTAATAAATTAGAAATACAATTTGCAATGTGCAGTTTAGGTATACATAATCCTTTTTCATGGGAATTGGAGCAAAGGTTATTTTTTAGGTTTTACATGTTATAACATTTTAAAATGAGCTAGAATTATCTGGGTCTCTTGATACAGTCATGAAACATTTTTTGTCAGGTTGGTATTGAAAGTGTCAGAGACATCTCCCATCAGTTGTTTTGCCATCTAATTGCATTTTTATAATGTGCTGAAATTATTAAGTCAAAGTCTACTAAAAAGGAGATCAGAAAAAGTAAACACTTTAATCTCTTGTGATTCCATATAGAGCTCTTTACTGGATATTATAGTGGTACTGTCATTATTATTTTATCATGTTTACAGTTCAAAGGTTTGACTCCTAATCTTACACCTATTATTCAAAATTAACAGGCTTAAATTTATGATAAAATTTCCTCACATAACTTGAGAAAGCTATTCTTTTAAAATAATTTTGTACATGATATCACAGTATCGTTATTCGAGCTATACAATGAATTTTGTTAGATGAGAAACACCATGATAATCTGTATGACTTATTACTTATCCATATTTTAGCTCTTAAGTTTTCTTACTAAAGTCTGTCTGTATGTATTTTCTTAGTTTATTTTTCCTTTTTCCTCTTCACTTTCACTAATAGCTGATTTAAACTTTTATGGTGTTGGAAGCTTTGCTGACTTCTGTAGCCTCCATTACTGTGTAGGCAAGTAAGATTTTAAGAGAAACGGTTCTATACTAAGTCTAGCATGCCATCCTTCTTAAAAGTTTTTTGCATGCAAAACTGCATCCTAACAGAAGCATGAGGTTGCTACATTTTAGTCTTGCATTTCTAGAATTAGACTTTACTTTTTAAATCAAATTTCTATTCCCTTTAAAAAATATATTCTTTTTTAGCTAGCCAAAAATAAACTGTTTCTTCTAAATCCAGGTATTCCATGTCTACTTAGAAGTTGGTTTTTGTTTTTATCTGTTTTGGTATTTTCATAAGTCACATTGACTATTTGAAATGTTCCAAAATATCTAAAAGATACTCTGTAATCATACAAGTTGTCCCTTTCAAATAAGATAGGAGAAACCGTTCGCATTTTGTATTAGTAATGGCTGTGAGTCCTTCCTACCCTTATTCTAATGCCTTGAGAAATATAAAAGGAAAGACTGACAATGAGTGGGTGGTTAGGTTAGAGAAGATATTCTTTTGTTCTTAATACATCAGTTTTTTTCAGAATAAATGAACCTGGAGTGAAAATTTCATAAAGCCTAAAATGGGAGAAAGAATATTTGAGTCCTAAGCATTCCACAAAGCATATAATGAAGGCAATCTAATCATGTATTTTGGGATGAGTATGCATGGAGGGATAGATGAGGATGCATGTGAACAGACGTTTGGTTATTGCACACTGGGAACATTTTTTTGCGTGCATTAGAGAGGAGTAGAAAGCTGATCGTTATCATCTTCTTGCTCTCCACAGCTGAATCTGCATATATACTTACCTTGAATATACTCTTAACTATCTCTTAAGCTGCACTTTTGATAATTAACTTTTTCTGAAATATAGTCTAGATTTCTAACATAATTCATTAAAAATTATTATGCATTTAACCTTTAAATATGTGCCTGAATTTTTTCCAAGCTATTTCTTAATATTCTGTCTAGATGATAATTCCTTATTTAACATTTAGTTTATTTGCCTAGGTTGGATTATCTCAAGATGCCCAGGATCAAATGAGAAAGATGCTCTGCCAAAAAGAGTCTAATTACATCCGTCTTAAGAGGGCTAAAATGGACAAGTCTATGTTTGTGAAGATAAAGACACTAGGAATAGGAGCATTTGGTGAAGTCTGTCTAGCAAGAAAAGTAGATACTAAGGCATTGTATGCAACAAAAACTCTTCGAAAGAAAGATGTTCTGCTTCGAAATCAGGTTGCTCATGTTAAAGCTGAGAGAGATATCCTGGCTGAAGCTGACAACGAATGGGTAGTTCGTCTATATTATTCGTTCCAAGATAAGGACAATTTATACTTTGTAATGGACTATATTCCCGGGGGTGATATGATGAGCTTGTTAATTAGAATGGGCATCTTTCCAGAAAATCTGGCACGATTCTACATAGCAGAACTTACCTGTGCAGTTGAAAGTGTTCATAAAATGGGTTTTATTCATAGAGATATTAAACCCGATAACATTTTGATTGATCGTGATGGTCATATTAAATTGACTGACTTTGGTCTCTGCACTGGCTTCAGATGGACACATGATTCTAAGTACTATCAGAGTGGTGAGTAAAAGCATAAAATTTGTACATACTAATATGATTTATTAATGCAATAAAATAAAAGATGGTATTATCACTGGATGGAACCAGAAGTCTTGGGTCAGGTCTTGACTATTGAGTAAGCACTGGTGAATCCTTCAGACACCTAGACTTCTAAAATGAAATAGTGTGTTAGATTATTTTATTTCTAAATGTCATTAACATTTTTAAGTTAACATCTTTACATTTTTGTTATTTTGAAATATCAGACAAAAAATACATTTTAAAAAATAATTTTTAAATGAAGCCCCATACCCACCATTTAGCTTAAGAACTAGGTTATAAGCACCTTTGAAGCCTGTAAACAATCGCTTGCCCTTCTTTCCTCCACAGAGGTAACCATTATTTCGGAGCTTTGTAATCAGTTCTTTACTTTTCTTAATACTTTAACCACATATGTATATATCCCTAAATTATTTCATTTTGCCTACTCTGGAACTTTATTTAAATGTAATCATTCTATATGTATTGTTCTATGTTGACTTCTTTTATGTTTGAGGTTCATCTGTGTTATTGCATGTAACATTTCACTGCTATTTAGGATTCCATTGTATGACTATGACACAACTTATTTAACTTTAAACACTTTGTATACAAGATTCTATTTAATCCTCACAATGTCATTGCAAGGCAAGATGAAGAAACTGAGGCTTAGTTAGATGAAGTTACTTGCCCAAGGTCAGACAGAAAATAAGTGTAAGGGCTAGGCTTTGAACCCAGGTTTGTCTGATTACAGGGCCCATGTTATTTCTACTACACCACAGTGCCTCACCAAGATCCCTTCAAGCGCTAATGGAAGTGTAAGTCCATCTGACATTTGTTGAATACTATGACTAGGTGCTTTACATATATTCTAATTTAATGCTCATAGCAATCCTGAGGTAAGTTTTAGCCTCCTGTGCTTCTGTGAACACGAGTAGAGGTGACATTGAATTGATAGAACTGAGAAACCCAAACCTATTTAATGTTCAATTTAATGTAATATGTTTCTTCAGATTCACCTGTGGTTCTTTTTTAAAATGATTTTTAAGCTCTATTCCAGTCTGTTGATTGAAAATCTTCACTAGAGGGTAGAAATTGTATTTTAATCAAACATCCCAACTGATTGTTACAGTTAGGTTGATTTTAGATATATTTTTCTAGGTGATTTTATTTAGCCATGGCTTTAAATACCATCTCTATATCAGTGACTTCCAAATCTCTCTCCAGAAATGGCCTCTCCCTAATATGCCTTTCAAACTTAAAATCACCAGTAAACAACTCTTAATTTCTACCCCTCTGTATTCCGCCCCCTCCAGTCTTACCCAGTTTAGTAAACTGCATCACTACTATCCACTCAGTTATCCTTGATTCTTTTTTCCCATAGCCCCTACATCTAATCCATCAATAAGTCCTGCTACTCCACCTCTAAATATATCCTGAATCTGTTCGCTTTTGGCCATCTCTACTGTTACCACCATGGTCCAAGCTTAAGTTTAATAGCCTCTTATCTGGTCTCTTCATTCTTGTCCTCTTTTATAATCTACCCAGCAGTTAGGTTTTCTTTTTTAAATATAGATCAGATCTTGTCGTTTTCTTGCTTCAAACTCTCCAATATGTTTTCCCACTGTACTTTGAGTGAAAAGCAAACCATTTCTTTTGCTTACAAAACCCATGCGCACCGGCTCCTGCTCCATTTCCTATCATTCTCTCCTTTTCTAACTGCACTGGTCTTCTCTGTTACTGTTGTTTCTGTATAGAATGTTTTGCCCTGGTTTTCAACTGGTTGATTCCCATTTGTTTTTACAAATGTCACTCAGTCACATCACTCCATGTTGACTCTCTACATAGGATGTATCACTGTGTTTCTTACATATGTATGTGTTTATTGTTTCTCCCTGACAGAGAAGCTACCTGAAAGAAGAACCCTTTCTTTTTTTATTTATCATTGTCATTTATTGAAGGAAATGAACACTGATCTAATTTGTTCGAAACTTTGTCCAGAGTAGTACTCGGGAGCAGTCTGAGTAACAAATTCTTAATCCTACCTACTCATGACTTTGACTGTCATCAGTTAACACTGAGTACATTACTGAATCTTGGGCTAATATTTCTTAGTGTAAAACTTGTCCAATTGATATCTCAGATCACAGGCAGCAGTCAGTAATAAACACCATCTGTGATTTGGTGTACACTGTGCCTTTGCTTGTCACAGGGGGAGTGTGTTGTTAACTCTAAACCATGATGTCAAAAGATTAAACAGACTGTAGGTTTACTGTTGTTCTTGTCCCTTTAATTTCTTTTCTTTTTTTACTTTACAGGTGACCATCCGCGGCAAGATAGCATGGATTTCAGTAACGAATGGGGTGACCCCTCTAACTGTCGATGTGGAGACAGATTAAAGCCACTAGAGCGGAGAGCAGCACGTCAGCATCAGCGATGTCTAGCACATTCTTTGGTTGGGACTCCCAATTATATTGCACCTGAAGTGTTGTTACGAACAGGTAAAACATTTGTTTTATAAATAATCTAAATAGGCCTTTATACCAGCTGAAACTTCATTAGAATAAGGCTTCTTTTTTAGGATTATAATAAAAGTATTAATTGCTGATTTAATAGTAATTTTGATTGTATTGATTCTGAGCACTTTATTTTTTTTTATTTTTTTGAGCACTTTTTAAAAAGTGCTTATAAATAACTATAACTTCGGTATCTTATTTTAGGCTATACACAGTTATGTGACTGGTGGAGTGTTGGTGTAATTCTTTTTGAAATGTTGGTGGGACAACCTCCTTTCTTGGCACAAACACCATTAGAAACACAAATGAAGGTAAGATATAGAATCTATACCAAAAAGAATGGTCACAAAGTCTCTTGCACTGTATGTATGTCAGTCCTTTACTTAGAGCATCTTAATCTGGACTTAAAAAATGAACTTGTCGTCTATCTCAGAAGCTAAGCAGGGTCGAGCCTGATTAGTACTTGGATGGGAGACCACCTAGGAAGACCAGGTGCTGTAGGTGTAAAAAATAAAACATAAGGGATTGTAAGCTGACGAGGTCTTTGAAATCTGTGAGGTCAACCAAGGGTTGCCTCGCCTAAAAAATAAATAAAGGATGAACTTGTAAGGATATCAAAAACCCACTAAATTTCCATGTATGAACTCTATTCTCCATTATTCTGTCACCATACTTTTATATTCTCTCTCACTCATACACTATATTCATATTTCATTCTCATAGAACTCTTTAGTACCCGTTGAAGATTTATTCCAATTTACTTTGTATATCATCTACTGGCTTTGTTTCCCTTTGTGCACATTCTAGCCCCAGACTGCAAAGAGTTGTTTATACAGTAATTCCTCCTTATCTGCAGTTTTACTTTCTGCTGTTTCAGTTACCTGTGGTCAACTGTAATCTGAATATATTAAATGAAAAGTTCCAGAAATAAACAATTTATAAGTTTTAAATCGTTCGCTATTCTGAGTGGTGTGACAAATCTCATGCTGTCCTGTTCTGTCCTACTTGGGACATAAATTGTCCCTTTGTCTAGTGTAACCATGGTGTATATGCTACCCACCTGTTAGTGGCCAATTCAGTTATCAGATTGACTGTTGTATCTTAGTGCTTTTGTTCCAATAACCCTAATTTACTTAATAGTGGCCTCAAAGCACAAAAGTAGTGATGCTGGCAATTCAGATATGACAAAGAGCAACCATAAAGTGCTTACTTTAAGTGAAAAGGTAGGTATATATAGGAAAAAACATAGTATATATAGGGTTCAGTACCCTATGGTTTCAGGCATCCACTGGGGGCTTTGGAACATATCCCCCACGGATCAGGGGGAACTACTGTATCTCCACTTGAAATTAGCTCTGGCACTTCAATGAGGAGATGCTCATAATTCTGACAATAAGCTGTACAATTAAAAACCCTTTAGTGGTTCCCTTGTATGTAAAGTCCAAATTAGTCCTCTGTTCCTTTGTTCATACCATTCCTTCTGGAATGTCTTTTCTCTCCTGTCTTCCACAGCCCTCCCCTCTTTCTGAAGCCTGGTTAACTCCTGATCATTTTTAATCATTCTCTGAGAGTGTGTTGAGATAGCATCTGTTCTATAATGCTCCCCCATCAAGTTGTAACTACTTCTGTCATTGCATTTAATATTTTATTTTTTAAATTTCCTTTAGAATTTCTTTTAATACAGGTCTACTTTTAGTACTGGTAATGCATTCTCTCAGGTTTGTGTCCGATTTGTCTGTCTAAAAGTATCTTTATTTCACTTTGGTTTTAATATGTATGTATATATGTAAGTACATGTATATATACGTATATTTGTGTGTATGCATGTATGTGTGTATAAAAAATTGAATGCTTTCTCCTTAAGATCAAGAAAAAGGCAAGTATATCTATTCTCACCAGTCTTATTCAACATAGTTCTGAAAGTCTTAGCCAGTGCTATACAGCAACAAAAATAAATAAAAGGCATACAAGATTAGAAAGAAATAAAAAATTCCCCTCTTCACAGATGACATAATTTTCTATATAGAAAATCCCAGGGACTCTATGAAAAAAACCCATAGAACCAACAAGTGAGTTTGGCAGGGTTGTAGGATATAAGGGTAGTACATAAAAATATATTGCATTTCTGTATATATTCAAGCAATGAACAGCCAGAAACTGAAATTTAAAAACTACCATTTACAATAGCTTCCCCTAAATGAAATACTTAGGTGTAAATGTGATAGAACATGAACAAGATCTATGTGCTGAGAGCTACAAATTGATGAAAGAATATCATCAGGAAGATCTTAAATGGGAATACATACTGTGTTGATGGAGTGGAAGACTCAACATAGTGAAGCTATCAGTTCTCCGTGCAAAATTTGTAGCTTTAACTCCAAATCTATAGATCTAACTCAAATTCCAATACAGATTCCCAGCAGGA